AGTGAGGGTATAGGCTACTAGATTACTATAAGCATATTTCTAAATAGGTCTTATCTATCTCCTCTCTCGATCGGTAGCTATTGAGTAACGTTATTCAGATTTTGTGACATCTTCATTCATATATGAATCTTGTTGCACATCTATAATAGTGAGGGATACATTTAGGGATTATTTCGAGAAGTATCTTTGTTAAACTCCACCTTATCCATGGTTTTTTCATCATTTTCTCGTTAACTCATAAACAACCTTTCCTTGATCAAGCATATATCTCTCATTAAAAGTAACATCTCTACTAATAATGAATTTAGATGAATTGGGTTTAAGGCACCATAGATGATAAACTTTCACCCTATCAATGTAGCAAACAAATATGCATTTCTTTACTCTAAGTTCAAGTTTACTATCTTTAACATGATAATGAGTAGGGCATTTAAATACTTATAAATTTAAATAATCACTTAGTTTACCTAACCATACCTCATTTGGAGTCTTATAATCAATAGTAGTAGAGGGAGAATGGTCGACAAGATAACAAATCGTGTTATTTACTTCAACACAAAAATCCTTTTTCAAACCCAAATTATAGAGCATATATCTAGCTCTCTCTATCAAAGTCCTATTCATACACTCTTTCACCCCATTTTGCTAAGGAGTGTGTCAAACTGTGCTATGCCAAATAATCTCGTAGTTTGTCCAAAACTCATTAAAATTTTCATCGCGAATTCCAAGCCTTATCCGTTCGAAGACGTTTAAGCTTCTTTCTTGTTTAATTCTCTATTACAAATTTTCATTTCTTGAAAGTTTAAAAAACATCACTCTTATAGTTGAGAAAATAAATCCAAATATTTTAAGAGTAATCATCAATAAACGTTAGAAAATAAAGTGCATTACTTAAGGATGGAACCGAGTTGATCCTCATAAATCTGAATGAATGTAATAAAGTGTTCCCTTTGTAGAATGAGTGCCAACAGAGAACTACACTCTAGTTTGCTTTCCTAAGACACAATGCTCATAGAAATCAAATGATGTCATTTGATCACCATAAAGCAAATCACATTTACTTAGAGTAGTCATACCTTTCTCACTCATATGACCCAAACACATATGCCATAATTGAGTTATTTCTTTTTAGAGTAAAAAGTTATCACCCCTACGGAGCTTGTTACTGTACTACCATGTAGCACATAGAGATGATTAATTTGAGTTGCTTTCATCATAATCAAAGAACCCTTAGAAACCTTAAGAATTCCATTTTTACCGAATAGTTATAACATCTCGAATCTAAATAGTTTCATCACGAATTCTAAGCCTTATCCGTTCGAAGACGTTTAAACTTCTTTCTTGTTTAATTCTCTATTAAAAATTTCCATTGCTTGAAAGTTTAAAAAACATCACTCTTATGGTTGAGAAAATAAATCCAAACCTTTTAAGAGTAATCATCAATAAACGTTAGAAAATAAAGTGCATTATTTTTTGATAGAACTAGAGTTGGTCCCCATAAATCGAATGAATGTAATAAAGTGTTCCCTTTATAGAATGAATGCCAACAAAGAACCACACTTTAGTTTGTTTTGTTAAGACACGAGTGCTCATAGAAATCAAGTGATGTCATTTGATCAACATAAAGCAAACCACATTTACTTAGAGTAGTCATACTTCTCTCACTCATATGGCCTAAACGCATATGCCGTAATTGAGTTATTTCCTTCTTAGAGTAAAAAGTAATCACCCCTACGAGCTTGTTACCGTACTACCATGTAACACATAGAGATGATTAATCCGAGTTGCTTTCATCATAATCAAAGAACCCTTAGAAACCTTAAGAATTTCACTTTTACCGTAATAGTTATAACGTCTCGAATCTAAATAGCTTAAAGAAATTAGATTCTTTTTCAAATCCGACATATGTCTTATTTCTATAAAAATCCTCACAATCGAATCATGACACTTGATACGAATTGTACCAATACCGATCATCTCACAAGCTAAATTATTGCCCATCAAAATAAAGCCACCACTTATAGGTTCTTAAGTGGTAAACCACTCTTTATTTTGACATATATGATAAGAAATACCTATATCCAAAATCCACTCTTGATTAGAATGATCATCTAGAGGATATATAGTAAGAACACTTTTAGCGACATCAACATCAATAGCCTTTGCCATATTAGCGGACTCAAAACCGTGATCCTACAGTTTCTCTTTCTTCTTCGAGCAGGATAATTTGATTTGTAATGTCCTTTCTTGTGATAGTAGTAGCACTCAACATTTTTCTTCTTATTCAAAAGTGATCTAGACTTAGAAAACAATTTGGTTATTCCTTTATAACCCTTTATATCCTTCTATCTTCTTCTTACTAGCAAACCAACGAACCTAACCATCAACAACTTTACCATTCAGACTTAGTAGAATTCAAAAAGGCCTTAAAATCCTCTAAAATTATGGACTCTCTACCACACAACAATGAATTAACAAAATTCTCATGCGAAACATGTAATTAACAAAATACAATAAGATCTTGATCTTCCTCATCAAGTTTAATATCAAGATTTTTCATATCCATAATAATCCAATTAAACTCATTAAGGTGTTCTTGAATAGATGTACCTTCTTGTATCTTTAGTGTATAAAGACACTACTTCAAATACAATTTTGTTATAAAAGATTTCTTCAAGTAAAGGCTTTTCAACTTCTTCCACAGATCCCATCACCATCTCTTCATCTTCGACTTCTCGTAATATCTTATCTAACAATGATAATCATGAGCACTACGAGCGTTATCATCCATCACTTGAATTTCGACAAAATTCATGTCATCCGGGTATATACCCTCAATTGTTTTGATAGAATCTTCATGCCGTAACAAAGCTTTGATCTTAGTCCTTCATAGACCAAACTTATTTTGACCATCAAAAGGTGTAACATCAAATTTTAGAGCTACCATTACGAATAGAAAAACCTAAATATGCGCAACTTGTGCTATGATACCAGTTTGTTATGATAAATAGCAAAAATAAGATAAATAATGATAGACAATAATCAAAAGATAACGCCAAATACATTATCATTACATAGTATTTACGTGATTCGATAAATTGCCTACTCTACGGGCAAGAAGGAAGTTTTATTAGCTTGATAGCAAATGAATACTAGAACTCCGGAGGCTCAATATAAAATTTTTGTCTTTCACTCTATTTCCTATAGAAAAGCATAACGAGATTTAAATACCTCATACTTGTAAAGGAAAAAACCTAATAGGTTAAATATATTATTAGCCTATAACATTCAAGCCATATATAACATAAACAATCTAAATATTCTATACGTAATGAATGCTAATAGTTTTAAGCATGGAACTCATAGATCTTAAAAACAAACACAATACTAGGAAGCTCTGCATGTATCAGCGTTTTTTCCTTCTTTTATCAACAATAAATTAAACACATGAAACTCAAATACATGCATGTGAAGGGGAGGGTACGAAAGACTTTTGTGCATGCATCAACACCCAGAAAAGTGACGAGTGAGTGAGACACGCCAGCAAAAGTATAAACTAACGTTCCTCTTGTTTGTTTTGTTTTTCTTTTCTAATTATAAACAGGAATCTTATATTTGATTTGTGCAGTTATGAGCATCAGATCCTCTTTAACTCCAAGACAAACTCATCTTTATTACTCATGACCTCCAAATGTAGCTTGTAGAAACGAATTGTCAGATCATATTCCTGTTGTTGCATGGATATAAATGCATAGTAATTTACCATCTGTGATACACAGTTCTAAATAAAAATTAACTTCTTATATATATATATATATATATATATATATATATATTAGTGAATTCCTCTCACATTTTTTTGTGTATTAGAAGAATTATTTGTGAATAGAATCATTCACCATTATTTATTCCTTTATTCCATGGCCATAACTACATGTATTGTTTATAAAGGATTTTTTAATGGTAAAATTTAGGATTTGCAATAAAAGCTTTGAAATTCAAAGCTTAAGGTGGGGGTGGGGCTTTTGCGATTAAGCTGGCTTGTGAGACCTCCTGCTGAACCATAAAACAAAAATTATGATATTAGTCATTGTCGTTAATTAGTACTTTTTCTATAACATATATCTAGTATTTCCTGTAACATTATTATTATTTTTTTTAAATTCTGATACATTATCAAAATTTGATGCATCAATTATCTATTCTTTGAATGGATACTGAGACTAAATTAATAGTGGCTCCCTCATTGATGTAATACTTTCTTTGGGTTTTTAAGAAGTTTTTATTATATACTCAATTAAACAGCAAATTACATTGAATAGTATCCATTATTAATTTATTGTGTCTCCAACAAACAATGCTAATTGTTGTTTCTTACCTTGAAAATAAAATGAAAAATTATGAATATTCTATTAATTGTACGAAGTTTATTATTTACAAATTTTAGTTGAATGACTTCGATCACGCGCACGTATAAGATAGTAAAATAAGGAAAAAAAAATTAAAATGGCCATAAAAAAAGCTAGAGAAAAAAAAATTTAACCTAATTGTATGTAAAACCAAATATAACAAACAATATGCTATATCTTCAAAATAATAATAATAATAATAATAAATTAAATTAATTTTTTGTTTCATCGTATCTTTATTAAGTATTTAATGGGTTCTAATATGGTATCTAAATAAAAACTTGCGTTATCGAAAAAAATAGACAAATGGCAGCAAAATGAACATAAAGTTTTTCTATAAAAGCTCTAGTCCAAGTGAAACTAAATCATATTCATTCAACAAACGAGTTCTAGTAAATTTCCTCCCCCCCCCCCACCCCCCCTAAAAAAAAAAAAAATAGACAAATGGCAGCAAAATGAACATAAAGTTTTTCTATAAAAGCTCTAGTCCAGTGAAACTAAATCATATTCATTCAACAAACGAGTTCTAGTAAATTTCCTCTCCCCCCCCCCACCCCCCCTAAAAAAAAAGAAGTTCTAATACGATATTCGATGGCCGATAGAAATAATGAAAGAATTAAAGATGGCAATGGTAGTAAGAATTTAGACATAAATCGTACTCCCGCAAATCTTATTTTTGCTCCGGATGAAGGTCGAGTTCGAATAAGCGAAAGCGGTTAGTGCATACTTCGGTTTTTTGTTTCAAGTTTCAATTTATTTACTTGAAATGTAGCATGCATGTTTTTATTATGATGTGAAAATTTGGAGATTAGTTTTTCTTTATGGTTTAAAATTCTAGATGATTTTTTATTATTTTTTTTATAAATTTTTTATATTTCATATTGATGTGTTGCTCGATTGCGGATTATGTATTAATTTGTTGATTATTGTTCGATATTGGCTATATTTTTTTATTATAGTTTTTTACTATTCAATAAAGTATTTATTTTTTTAATTAACATTAATTGTAAGAATAGAAAAATTATTGTATAAAATTACTACTACTATTACTTAGTAATTTATGTTATTTATTATAGATGACTTCTAGTTTTATTATCGTTCATCGTTACCGAGTGAGTGATCGATAGTCGTCATAAATTGATCGACAAACGATTACCGATTATCTATTTCTGCTAAACTTTTATTTCTGATAGGAATTTGATATTATTATTGTAATTATTAATAACTTTCTATTTTGCTTTTCATTATCATCGTCTACTGTTACTAATGAATGATAATTGCTCATTCACTGGTTCTTGAATAGATTTTGTTATCGATAAGTACTAAATATTAACTTTCTTTAGGAATTAAAGATTCTTATATCTAATGGAGATTGTTAATTATTTGACTGCATATTGTGAACATACTACAGATAGCGATGCTGAAAGAATTATCAAAACTTTTCTTTTCTTTTCTGTTCTTTGGCCTCAAATTGAATATTTTTGAAACTTTGGGATGTCAGTTGACAAAAGACAGGTTAGGAGGGTAATTGGAATGAACTTAGCTAAACCACGAGGCTGAAACGGGACAAATTGTAATTTGGAAAAAAACCAAAGCTTTGTTGATGCAACGATGCTTATGAATTCAAACATTCACCATTTCTTGCATTATGTTGCTGCTATGCTACAACGGTGATTTTTGGTTTCTGACCTGTCTTCAGGCAAGAGTCTAATCAGCAGGCACAGAATGAAGCTACACAGAACGAAGGAAGCAGTCTTTTGAATTCTTATCAATTTTTCTGCAAGCAGCTTCTTGCAATAATCAGCAGCCTGCACGAACAGAATTCACAACTACAGAAGCAGCTGAATACAGGAGGACGGATTTCTCTACTTCCGAGTGTTCCTCTACTTCCGGGTGTTCCTCATCATCATCAGCAGCAGCCTTCAGGAATTATTTTCCCTCAACAATTACAAGTACCTGGAAGCTGTGTACCTCAACAACAAAGGATTACACACCAGCCGCGACCAGGAAGCAGCTTCTCATCCCAAGAGGTCGCCAACGCACTCGCACTGCAAGAAACAAATGGATGGCTGAATCCTAACCGCAACGGGCCGCAGGGTAGATCGAACTGTAGGAGGCAAGAAACTCCCATGCATCCATCGGTAGCCCAGTTCTACAAATATCTTGCACGGCCAAACCTTCCTCCGAATCCATCCATGTTGTCCCCAGTAAATGGATCGGTATTCAAAACCCTACTCTTTGCTGTTAATCATCGGTTAATAGTTTGATAATTTGTTGGTTTTTTCTTTTTGTCAATTTGTCCTAATTTTTTTCGATTTGATTTCTTTGTCTATCCAAGTTTCTTTCACTTGAATATTGTTCAGTTGGCAAACATCACCTGGTTGGTTGCTAGAGAAAACTATTGTAATTCTCGACCCCACATTACTGAAGTTTCTATATATAACTTGGAATGGTAGCTGAGATTTCAAGTAAAAAGCATGAACAGTTAGGTCCAAGATACTAATTACATTTAAGAGAAAATTAGTTTCAATGAAGGCCAAGCTGCATAGAAATTAATGTACTTAATCTTAAACTTAGCTGCAATAAAAGTTTATGTCAAACAGACTAGTAGCTCAGCATAAATCATGATCGTCAGCAAATTTCCTAAGTTATCATGCTCTTTCCTTTCAATTGTTTCAAAAATATTGCTTTGAAACATATGATCATATAAACCATTAATATTTGATGTTTTTTTCCCATCTCATATGAATGGGGAAGTGCATTAGAGAGATAGATACATTAGAACGTAGCTGTGAATATATCATATTTTTTAAAATGATGACTTTATATTGGTTGCGTTTTATTCTTTAGCAGTATCTATATCATTTAGCTTCCATTTCTTTTTCCACTAACTGATTCTCTGCTGTCATAGGCCCTAAATGCTCAATTGCGACTCAAAGCACCAGCCGAATCTTCATCTTTGCAGGTCGCTCCTCTAGGCCATAACAATCCCCCCAGTTTGCAGATAACTCATTTTACAGAAATGGGCAGTAGCTCAAATGATGGAACGAGAAAGAAAAGGTTAGTTTTCACTTAATTTATAGAATCTGAATAAAACGTTGAGAGATTATTGGTGACCATTTTAATCTTTGAAAATTGATTGACGTCACTCATCTTATTCAATCATGTACCTTTCTGCTTCTAGTTTGGAGATGTTGAGAGGTCCTGATGGCCAGCTACCTGAAAAATTACGACATGTGGAACCTCATATGCTTGAACGCATTATACACGAGATCATGGATAAGGATCTTAATGTTTGCTGGGATGATATTGGTAACATAATTAGATTCATAAAATACTCATCTATTCTTCATAGGTAGACTTCTTTAAGTCCTTCAGCATTTCTAATTAACCATTCTTGTTACCTTAACATTCTTGTAGCTGGTCTTGAGAATGCCAAAAAAAGCATCATTGAGATGGTTGTATGGCCTTTAATGCGTCCTGACATATTTAAGGGTTGCCTCGATCTTGGGAGAGGCCTTCTTCTATTTGGTCCATCGGTAAGTATTCAACGACACATACTTTCTGATCATAGGCATAGATGTTATTGATCTATATAACCTATTTAGTGCTTCTGGTGTTTAGGGAACAGGCAAAACTATGATGGCGAAAGCTATAGCTGGAGAGATGAAAGCAACTTTTTTCCATGTATCTGCCAGAACATTAGCTAGTAAATGGGTACGGTTTTGTACATATATTTCCTCATTCACTTCATGGAAATCTTGAATGATTGGCAACTATTCGATCTTTAGGCAGTAATCATTATCAAACTATTAAACTTGAGGTAACTTCAATGTATGATATTAAGGCTTTACTTGAGTGCTGCTCTTTCAGATTATTTATGCAACCGATCATGTTGAATTTGATCTATGCTTCATTTCAAGTTGTTCATTTTTATGGTTTAAATGGTGGCTGTAGGCTGGTGATTGTGAGAAGCTGGCGAGGGCCCTTTTTAGAATGGCACATTCTATGCAGCCTGCAGTAATTTACTACGAAGGAATCGATTTAATACTAAACAAGGTAACTCTACTCTTAAAACTAAAAATTAAGAAACTATAATCTAAAATTGGAAGACTTGAATCCAGGTCTGGGGCCTTTTATCATCAAGTCCAATGGCATCTTTCAAATATGTATCTCTAAATAATATTGGGAAGAAGATACTTTGTTGTGAAATTTTATATGGTTACTGCAGCGTACAGCGTATGCACCGGAATACGAATACAGCAGGCGTCTCAAGACGCAGTTCCTTATTGAGATCGAAAGCATGGACAGCCAAAGTACTCAGGTTCTGCTTATAGGTACTTAAAAGTTCTGAATCCCCATGTATGCAAGGAGGATATAGAACGAAAATCTTTTAGTAACACTATTTTTTATCAAAAGCCTGGCCAATTCTTACTTTGCAGCAATTCACTCACAGCATTAATTCGTGATTATCGTATTTCTATTCTTTTTTCTGAACCATACTCGCATTCATAATTTCTACTGTTAAACATAACCTAGTTTGCACCTTCCTCATTGGACTTGATATATCAGAACATTATTTATGCAGGTGCAACAAGAAAACCTCAAGATCTCGACGAGATTGCCCTCAGCCACTTAACGAGACGGCTGCACATGCCATTGCCTTCACCAGGTGCAACTTACCGGACCCTGTCATTTAATTTCTGAACCAGCAGTTTTAATACTGGAAGTATGTGTACTAATTGCCTTATATATGGTGTTTACTCTTTATGTAGAAGTAAGAACACGTATCATTAGCAATCTATTGAAGAAAGATGGACTGTTTTGTTTGTCTGAAAAAGATCTGAACATCGTTTGCGGGTTAACTGAAGGTATTAATTACCCTTCAATTTTTTAGGTCTTTGTGATACATTTAACTTTTGAACTATTATTTATATATTCCCTGATATTTGTTTTTATTTTTATTTTTTTCAGGGTATTCAGGTTCTGATATGGCAATCTTAGTGAAAACAGCTGCAATGGGTCCGCTAAGAGATGCTATGAAAGAGGGTATTAAAGATATCAAAAATTTGGAAGTAGAGAAACTGAGAGCAGTGACCCTTGAGGTAAGAACCAGTTGCATTTTGTGTTTATATATGCTAAGTCCTTAATGGTTACTTACTCTAGAATAGGTTTTTAATTTTAACTGGAAAAGGAACCTAAACGTTGGTTTTAATTTGGTCATTTTATGCAGGACTTCCGGACATCAATGCAAGCAGTAAGGCCTTCGGTCTCACCAAATGAAATTAGTGCACTTGCTCATTGGAACCTGCAGTTTGGCAACATGTCAACTTAGAAATGGACGAAAATATGTATCTATTACAATGTGCATTTTGAACCTTCTAGCTATTTACAGAAGTTCTTTATCTAACAAGTAGACTAGCTAAAGTGCCTGGGCATGCTAGGTCTAAACTATGTGAAACTAGATACTTTGGCTTGCTATATATATAGTCTATGAAGTACCTCTCTATATAAGGTCATTTCCATTCGAAGTGATTGTTTATGAAATTGGATCAGAAAGGTTTTAAACCTCAGAATTTTGGTTTGGAATCAGATGGTGTGCATGCACTTGGTTTGCAATGGTGAAAGCATTTATCTTTGATGAGATCATCACCGGCTCATGGCCCTCTTGCTAAATTCTATGGCAACAGGATCGTGTGTGGTGAAAAAACCATATGCAGGCTATAAAAAAGTCTACTTTTCGTGATCATACTCATCTCTACCTATCTATATATCTATATTGGGGAAAGATAGTGTCATGTATGGAGCCTGGACTTAACTCCAAATGGCATAATTCATAATATAGGAGGGTTTTCTGAACGATGCGTTCTCAGGAATGGTATTCAGGCTTTGCTATCAAGGCTGAGAGGAGGGTTTTCTTTTCTCAATAATTTTGATGATAAGCTTTTTCTTTAAATTTCTCAATAATTTTGCTAACAATGTGTTCTCAGGAATGGTATTCGGGCTTTGTCGTGATCATATATACTTATTGTATTTTTTTTAGTTGCTTTTTGGTCAAATGAATCATTAATTTCTATTTAGGATCAGTCACTTTCTTTTTAGTTCTCTTATTGATTTGGTCCTTATACTTTTAATTTTTATTTTATTGGATTCTACTATTCTTTTTAGTGTTGATTAGGTTTTTTTTTTATTTTTTTTATTTTTTTTATATAAGGATCGTTTGGCTATAACGTCGTGAGTTTGTATGTCTAAATGACATGTTTCTATTAGAGTACTAAGTTGAATGCTTATCATCCACAATCTAATCAATTAACTAAGAAAAAAAAACATAAACGAATCTAAGTTAATTAAATTTAATTAATTTTTATGTATTTATTTTTTTTATTTCTTTAATTACTTCATTTTAAAAAAAAAATCTTTTAACAAAAATGATATCGTGTTGACATACAAACTCAAGATGTTATGAAGAAAGGATCCTTACGATAAAATAAAATAAATAAATGGACTCAATCAATACCAAAAAATAAAATAAAAAGTTTCTATAAAAGTAAAAAATAAGAATAGAGTAAGGTGGTGTTTGATAAAACTGAAAATTAAGTGCTCGAATCTATTAAGTACTGAATTTTAAGTATCGAATCTGATGAAATACCGAATATGTTCCCGACATGCTTGTTTGGTATTTATCGAAAATTAAGCACTCGAATATAATAAGTTTGTTTGAAGATGAAAGAATATATATGATATTTTTTAAGATTTTAGTTTGAACATATGTATATGATTATATTACTCTTATTGTTTAAAATTTATTTTTTTCAATTATTTTTTTCTTACTAAAATTCTCATCAAATTAATTTTTGATATAATTTTATTTTTTAATAAATTTGATTTTTTAAATATATGAATTTTGGAATAAAATTTTATAACGTTCGATGTTTTATTTTTTAAAAATATATTATTATAATTTATAAATTCGATATATATATATATATATATATACACACACATAGAGAGACGAGAGCGAGAGAGAGAGAGAGAGAGAGAGAGAGAGAGAGAGAGAGAGAGAGAGAGAGAGAGAGAGAGAGAGAGAGAGAGAGAGAGAGAGAGAGAGAGAGAGAGAGAGAGTATGTTTTAGATAGTTTAACTTAATGAGATAAGTTAAAAATTTTAAATTATCCGATTAGGTAGATTTTAACCGAACTTAAAGTTTTAATATGAGATCATTTAAGTTATCAAATAAGATTTTTTATGTTAAGTAGTACAACTTAATTTTTTAAGCTACTTAATTAGGTTATCAAACACCCCCAAGTAAATAATAAAACCTTAAATTCCATCATCTTTACGACTAGAATTCTGAATAAACTATATTTTAGCTCTTATAAATTTTTCATTTTTCATTTCTACCCCATAGTTTAAAATGCTTTCAATGTTACCCCCATTTTTCAAAAGTTTCAATTTTGCTATTCTTAATAAATAACAAATGAAAAGCTTACTTTTGTTCATATTTCATATTATTTTTCTTATTTTTCTCTCAAATCCTCATTCACACAAACATTTAATAACCTCAAAAATAAAATGAAAAAATGCATGCTATTTAATAATTAAGGATAGCATTGAAACTTTTTGAAATTTAGAAGCGTAACGTTTAGAAATTTTAAACTATAAGGGTATGAATGGAACATCGATGAATCTATAGCGTAATAAAGCAAATTTTCTTGGAAGGAATACTTTGTATGAGGAGAAAGTGACCATTTCGTAATTTATGCAAGAAAACAGTCCCATTTGGCACTACACTTCAACCATTCACTCAAAAACCCATTTTACCATTTAAAGAGCCAAACATTAACCAGCATTTCTCATTTTAAAAAACCCCCAAATAATGGCGGGAAAAGAAGAAGCAGTACCTTTCTCTTCTCCTCTTTTGAAACCGAAAATGGAAGATTCTGGAGGCTCTCAGATTTGTTGGAGAAAGCAAGTCGACGAGAACCTGAAACGGCTCCACTCGCTCCAATTCGGAGCAGATTTAGCTCTCGAGAAGCGCGATTTCTCAGCTGCTCGTGTACTCTTGCTTCGGCTTCTCGGCTTTCTCGACTCGCATTCTCTTTCTGATGCCGATGAGGCTCTCACTCGGCCTATACGGCGCGACGCCGTCTCCAAGCTCGAATCCGCTCGCCGATCTCTTGCTCCTGAATCTGATCGGTAATGTGTTTGTTTAAATTCAGTCTCTATGTTTTTGTTCTTGATTGATTGCTTGAATGTGATTGTCAGGGTTTTGTGGTTTGAAATTAGCTGTATATAGAGATTGCTTGATTTATCTTTAAGCTTATTTTTTGATATATTGAATGCTGATTTTACCATGGTTATCAGAATAGGTAAAAATAATAATTGTTAAGGAAAGTAAAAATGAGAATCGTCGGTTAGAAGCTGGAGGTTTTTAGGTTTCTATGCTTTTCTTTTCTTTATTTTTTAATTTGGTTTAATCGTTCAATTTTCAATTAATATAATTTGAATGCTAATCTAGACTTGAAAATAGTTAACTGGAAACCTAGATGTGAATGTATGGATTTAATTATTGAAGTTTGTGTTAAATTAATTGAATGCTAATTTAATGTCAAAACTACAATAAGAAACCCAGAATTGAAAGGATTAGGAGGGACGGAGCGCAGTGATGCAATTGAATTTTGAAAAAAGATATTTTTGGAGAGGTACATTCACTGTTTATCTCCTGCCCCTAGGTTCGGGACAAAAAAAGAAGGTAATTGAATATTAACTATATACATGAACTTCAGTATTTTTGCTTGGAACTAGCGTTTATGTCTGAGTGTTTTGTTTTTACATTATAAATCCTTTGAGGTTTTATGATTGTAATGATTTGTGTTCCATGCATGTTTAGCCGAGCATTTGAGCAAGCAGGTAGAGCTCCTGGCCAGGTTTTTAGCAGAAAAGGAGATTTTGACATTGAGAAGATTAAGCAGTCAAAGTACTTTCGTGCTCTTCTTCAGAAATATAATATAAAGCTTTCAAACAAATTGGTACGTAATAAAAATCAATAAATTGGCTATCATGATTCCAATTCCTAGCTTTCAAACTGTCAATAGGCAGTTATAAACTTCAAAGAGCAAGACTTTGTTGTTTTGTTTTAATGTTCCTTTATAGTTTTCTCCTTCCTTTTTTTTTTTCCCCCTATGGATAGCTATTTTTTATTGTAATGCCCAAGACTGTGGTCTGCAGTCCTCTTCAGATCGAGCTGTTTATATTCTGCTCCAAAATTCATAAAGGTGTGAACCTGTCAAATTATTGGGTTCTTGAACAAATTTTTTGTTTTCTTCTCAGGATGACAGATTGGATAGGCAGGATAAATTGAGCTGCAGGACATCAAAGTTTATGACACAAGCAAAGTTGGCATCCCTGTATGGAAACAACACTTCAAAAGCAAATAATGGCTTCGATAAGAGTCTATTGAACTCCAAAAGTAATATCTCTGAGGACTGCACGATTATAGAAAGGCCTCATTCACGTAACAACCATCCTAAAGGCAGTCTCTCTACTTTTTTAAAACTTCAAGAGGAAGAAAGAGGATATGGAAATGCTGTGGGTTCTAAACGGTCACACGTGGAAATCAGCAGCCCTAGAAATGACAACGCAAATTCACCAACAAATAATGAAGAAAATAACACTGATGTTTCTGGCAATGGATTTGTTACTGCAAGAGCTAAACTGGTATCAATATTCTTCTGCCTACCAGTTATCACTTTTTCTGTCATTTCCATACTAATACTTGAACTAGAACTTTAGGATGCATTTGTTTTATGCCTGCAATATACACATGATCTACATCAACATACGGAAACCAATCCAGAAAATACCAAGTCAGAATCACTGGCATGATTAGGTGGCTCATTTATTTACCATTACAAGCATTATGCTTTGAATCACAATCCTTATTGCAGTCTTATGATTTTCTGTGTCCTGTTTCCTGTGAGCAGTATTTTCTGGTCTTGTATCATGTAGAAATTGTTGACTTCAATGCACCATGTCTTTAAGCAATCAAAACAAGCATAATGGAATATATCTTTTATTTTTATGGAAAAAAAACTTAGTTTATATCATTTTTCATTTAATATCTCTTTTCTCAGACTCCATCATTAAACATGAGGTAAAATAGTTTGTTACCGCAAGATGGGTTATGAAATTTGAAAAAGAAAAATAACCTAAAATATAGGCGACAATCTTTGCTGCCGTAGATTCTGTAAGTTTGAGTTCCTAGTTTAGAGAATTACTCTAAAATAGAAACATCTTAATAGGCCAACTATATTTCGTACCTGATACAAGGTTTGTTTAAAGAGAAATCAAATGTCAGTTAGAGCTAGGAGTAGCTGTACAAAATAACCTTGTGCTGGAAGTGTCTTCAGTGCTTTGCTTTTAAAGTTTAGCATTTTTTTCCTTTCTTCTCATTATTATGTGTAGGCCAATTGCAACCGCTTTCTCTGCTCTTGTACAGGAAATGGATGCAAAGCAAAGACGAGGATTGGCAGGATCACCAAGTGCATCTGTCTCCCCACAACCACAAAGTGATAGCACAAACAGAGGTTATGGTGCGAGATCATATGGGATTTCACGCCGTGGTGTTCGAGGCAATTTTATTCCTCCCATAAAATCTAATGGGGGCAATACTGGAAATATGACTACACGAGTTGCTGGAAAGAGTGATGATGCATTGGATGACTCAACAAAGAGATGGTGAGTCATGTGGTTATAATGTTCATGGTATCAGAAATGAAGTTTAAATTTCTCATTAGCTCTTTACTCCGTAAATCTACAAAAAGTCTTTATAAGACATTTTAACCATCTGATTGTGTCCTCTGCAGTGGTTAAAACTTTAGAGGTTTCTATTGCAAACATATCCTTACTGAACCTCTTTTGGAAGTCATATGATAGATTCTCATTATGTCTTTTCAAACTAAATTGTATGTGATATCCTCTTACTTGTCAATATACTTATAATGCACTCACATTTTGATTTAACAGAATAATTTTGCTTTTCTCTGCACGGTGGGCAGAACTAATGTTTGATATTGTAGTGTCTGGTAATGCCAGTCTGTGTCTCTAATACCCCCAAACCACCCCCTCCCCCCACCCCAACAATCACCCCCTCCCCCACCTCTTTTTTTTTTTTTTTTTTAATTTTATAGATGTCAACTGGTAATCAGAGTGAGGCATACATACACTAAGTTTAACATGCTTGCTGTTTTGTCTTAGTTTGGAAATGCTATGTGGTCCTGATGGTGAGCTTCCTGAAAAGTTGAGGAATTTGGAACCTCGTCTCATTGAGCATATTAGTAATGAGATTATGGATCGAGATCCAAATGTTCGGTGGGATGATATAGGTAAAATATTATTGTAGTTTCCATCTTTCTTAGTTTCCATCTATTCCACTTTGATTTTAACTGCTTGCCTGGAAATATTGTAGCTGGCTTGGAACATGCTAAAAAATGTGTGACTGAGATGGTTATATGGCCTTTGTTACGTCCTGATATATTCAAAGGGTGCCGCTCTCCAGGAAGAGGTCTTCTTCTCTTTGGTCCACCGGTAGGTATTGTATCCAAATAATATTAAGGGAGATACTTGCTGCTTTATTATTCTAGTGCTTTTCATGTTTCAGGGAACAGGGAAAACAATGATTGGGAAAGCGATAGCTGGAGAGGCAAAAGCAACCTTCTTCTACATTTCTGCCAGTTCATTAACTAGCAAGTGGGTATGTATTCATGTTGCTTCTTCAGTGTTTCACTAACTGAATTTTCTGTTCATGCAAGAAAATTTTTTAATGAATGGTCGCATTTAAAACAAGTGGGATAGGTTGCAAGGGCCTTATTAAATTACACTCCTGAACATCTTTCTATTTTTTTCTGAATTATTCATCAATGTGCTAGAGAAACAGAAGAGAGGAGTTTTTCCTTTTCCTTTTCCTTTTTTTTTTCAGAATAATTAAGAGGGAGGTGTTATTTTTCCGGATAATTAAGATGTACGGGTGTACTTTGATTCAATTGATTAGATCCCACACCATACATTCTAGGAGATAAATGCAACTTCTTGACATTTTTGGTTTAGGATAGATTGGTGATAGAAAGTGATGGTCCTATTTGCAGCTGCCAAAGATATTAGGGATGTTCACTCATCATATATGTTCCTTCACCCTCACTTGACTCTAATCTACTCATTTACACCCTAACTCCATTCCTCTTTAATATTTTAGCATAGGCAGCTAACAGATTTTTAGTAAGACTGTACTATTGAAACAAAAGAGAGCAACTATTTACTTTCTTACAATTATTCATGCCAAACATTGTAGGATATATTGTTTAACATTTGAAATTTGACTTGTGACTGTAGATTGGGGAGGGTGAAAAGTTAGTAAGGGCGTTATTTGGTGTTGCCAGTTGTCGTCAGCCTGCTGTAATTTTTGTTGATGAAATAGACTCACTTCTGTCTCAGGTACACTATTTTCTAACCATTTCTGCTATAGCTGTACTAGTTTTCTACTATTTATATCTACCGGACAGGTGAATGGCACTGGTTGCTTGCATTTCTTACTATGAAATGCCTTTTCCTCAATCCTTCACTGAGTGCTTCCATTACAGGCAGTCTTCATTTGTGCAAACATGAAACAACTTGCCAAATGACCCCCCTTTTATCTCTTTATATCAATCAGCTTGTATTCATTTCAACTATGATGTTGCACTTAAAACTTTCGCATTGGTTGCAGCGTAAGTCAGAAGGTGAACATGAATCAAGTAGACGACTGAAAACACAGTTCCTCATTGAAATGGAAGGCTTTGACAGTGGTAGTGAGCAAATTCTACTTATAGGTAATTTTTAGAGCTCTATATCGGATTCTATTGCAATATATGCCCATATGTCTTGAGACATTCAGGCCTGCCTGTAATTTCTTTTTTTTTTCCCCTCATGCTTCTTTTTCCCCTCTAAAGTTTTGAGCTCCTTAGGAAACTGATAGTACTGATAGTGGAAACAACATTCTGATGCTGTGACACTAGTTTTGCATTAGGATTTCTTGAGTGGTGAGTAGAGAATCTGTGCAGCCTGAATCTTTGTCATGCTCCATATAATGAAAAAGAAAGCTCCTTTAGCACCCACAACTTCTATTCCACCACATCTTTATTTCAATCATGCAATCATCATGCCTGTCCCATACCATGTGCTGGGTAACTGTACTTGCAGGTCAGCATGCCATGACAACAACACAACAACAGTTTTACTCTTGCTCGTTGGCACTAACATTTTTCCCCTTTCTGAAGGGATTTTCTCCTCAAAAGCCAACATTAGCCTTACTTTTTTGTTAGTCAAACTCCTTCATCAAAAGAATTAGCATTTGATAAATGGTTGTGTTTTTCAGGAGCAACAAATCGACCCCAAGAACTGGATGAAGCAGCGCGTAGACGACTTACTAAAAGACTTTACATCCCCTTGCCTTCGTCAGGTGCATTTCATTTCGTCTGTCTTTCAAGTTCTTGAGTGAATAAATAAATGAAGTGACTAACCTATTGCCATTGGGAATGAAGAAGCAAGAGCCTGGATTGTACGTAATGTCTTAGAGAAGGATGGACTATTCAAGCTTTCGAAGGATGAAATTGATATCATATGTAGTTTGACTGCAGGTATCTAGTTCATGCATTTTGGAGTCAGAACTCCTATACTTCCTCTGTTATGTTATAATTGATAATCTGAAGTGGTTAGAGTCTGAAATTTCCTGCCTCATGTTTTCTTCAGGATACTCAGGATCAGACATGAAAAACTTAGTGAAGGATGCATCTATGGGTCCACTGAGAGAAGCTCTCAGACAGGGCATAGAAATTACCAAGCTGAAAAAGGAGGATATGCGCTCGGTTACTCTTCAGGTAATAACAGCATACATTCATACAGTTAGATGCACCCCAAGCAAATTTGGTGGTTTTTAATTTTTCTCAGTTGCACGTATTCAATTGCATTTTATTTTTTTGGCAAATAGGACTTCGAAAATGCATTGCAAGAAGTGAGGCCCTCTGTTTCTTCGAATGAACTCGGTGCCTATGATGAATGGAACAAACAATTTGGAAGTTTATCACTCTAGGGATCAATTTGATTAAAAAAAAAAAAAAAACTTGTAGTTGAAGGTATTTCTTTGCCTTATTCAATCCTTGACATCCTAAATGTGAAAGGAATTTTGATGTGATGACGGTATAGATGATGGCATACTACTTTACCAACCAATATAATTAACACCGCTATCTGCTAACTTATTCTCGAGTCACATGGCATAAAATTTCCCGCAAATAGATTTCCCATTATAATAGTGATTATCCTTTTTCCCTTTTTTTAACTATCTTTGTTGCAAAACTACGAGCGTGGGTTGGTAGTTTGATCGATGTTTCCTTTATTGTAGTAGGGTAGTTACTGAGAAAAGCCAAATGCTCCTGGTTCACTAAAAGTAAAATCAACTGACGAAAAGGATAGAGAGAAAACAAGGTATGCCCTCACCGTTGAGGTGTCTGCTTCTTACTCGTTGAGGAAATCACTTATTGGGACCCATGTGATGGAGCCTGGTGAGTTTAAACCGATCATTGATTGACACCGCCGCAGTTTATGTGCTCCTTGACGCCTATTCATTAACCAACTGTGTGCTTAATCCCCCTTAAAATATCCATTATTTGTGAAATAATCTTCTAATCACGCACGTACTTTCTGACCAAATTTAAAGATATTGAGGCATGCTTGTGTCTTCATAAGCCCTATATATATTTTTTCCTCCATTACCAACTACATAATTTGGATCACATCTAACATCCACGATTGATGACGTTGATTCTTATAATGAGGGGTGCCGATCAGTGTATATGCACATGTTAATCTGTATATGATTGTATATATAATTATGTAGTCGTATTTATATATACAGATTAACGATGGAGAGGGAAAAAATAAAGCACGCTACAACTTCCAACAAATCTAAATTATGAATCATTGACTTGCTAATTTAATTACTTGTTTATGCTCGTCTGAGTCCTCTTTTGGACCAAAACTTCTAGTCCCCCGGCCATGTGAGCGGTCAAGAGGGGGACAAAGACCGGCTTAGCTGAACTCACAGGTTTAATTTGGAACCGGTCAAGTATGGAAGCCATTACATACTTCATCTGAATGATGGCCATTTCTTTCCCGAGACACACCCTGGGACCGGCTTGAAAAATTGGAAATTTGTAAGGACATACCTCTTGGAGTACTCTTCTGTCATTTGCTTCAACAAACCATCGGTCTGGGTTGAACTTGAAACAGTCCTCACCCCACACTGCTTCCATTCTTCCCATTCCGTAAGGGAAGTAAGTCACCCTATCTCCTGCTAGGACAGGAGTGTTGTCCGGCAACAAGTCATTGACTATGGCATGCTTCGAGTCCCAGGCTATGGGTGGGTAGAGCCTCATTGACTCACAGAGGCAGGCCATCAACAAATTCAGCTCCTTCAATGAGTCATAATCTAGCATTCTTTCCATTAAAAGTTTTATCTCTTTCACCACCTCTTTCTCTATATCTGCATTACAAGAAAGTAACCAGAAGAGCCATGTCATTGCGGCCGAAGTTGTATCCCTCCCTGCCATGATGAAACTTATCACCATGTCTCTTATCACCTCCTCTCTATGGCCTGCCAATATAAGCCGAGAAAGGAGATCTTCGTTGCGATTGTTTCCTTTTTTAATCATCGATTTCTTGTTAATGATTATCTCGGAAACATAATGATGAACCTCCTCAACTGCATTCTTGAGCTGTCGCTCAGATCCAATACCAAGCCATTTCTTGATCTTCCAAACTATGAAGAGGGGAGCAGCTCCTCGTTTAGCACATATCTCTGATGCCTTGTCAAAAGCTCTTGTAAGAGGTGGAACAGGTTGGGAAGGATCTAAACAACTTCGATCAATCCCTAATGAAACCTTAAGGACCATGTTGAAGGCAAACCGTCTAAGCAACTCCTGCAAATCAAACACTTCTGCTGTAGCCGCCAGTGACTCCAAAATCGGAAGCAGCCCCTTTTCTACTTCTTCCTCCAATGTGATCATGAAGAACTCTCTTAGGGATTTCGCAGTAAACTCATGGCTAGCTAACTTGCGTTGCGTGCGCCAAAGCTCCCCGTCCACGTTGAATATACCATAACCAAGAAAGTCCCCAAGAATTTCAGTGAAGGGCTGCCCTTTGGGAAAGTTGTTAAAGTTGGTTTTGAGCATATACTCAACATTTTTCGGGTTAGCTGTGACGATGGTTCTTCGTGCACCAAGGCGGTGCACTATAATAGTGCTGGTAGCTGATTCTGCAAGCAGTTCAGTATACCAATCCAACAAACGAGCCCGGTTCTTATAGAATGAGATCAAACATCCTATTATAGGATATGTGGGTGGCCTGTGACCGGAGAACTTTTGAACTTGCCGAAATCTGCACAAAATTACGTTGAGAAGGTAGAAAAGCAATACATACAACAACAAGAATGATAGGACCTGCAGCATGAAGAGAGACATGGGATTTGCCATCTGAGCATGCAGGGAAACTGAAAATGGTGGATGATGACTATATAACCTTGTCTGGACAATTATTTTCCAAACGTGCTATATCTGTAGTCCACAAGGCCCTCTAAGTTGTGACTGTTAGCTATTTATAATTGCATCAATACGCTTCCCTACCATTATTATTAATATTAAAATTAAAATTATTACTACTGTGTAGTAGATACTAGTCGGTGGGTGCTAATTGCTTAATCTGATAGGAAGATGTTACAGTAATATCTGTGCCTTGGTTCTTATTTAATTATTTTGTTGGCTTGCAGTTGATTAAACAATGCACACGTTTAAAGAATCACTTGTCTTCCTCGTCATTTAAAGTACTATATACTTATAATATTTAGGGTATGGACAGCTACAAGGGCACTTGACTCCTTGTTTGTCCCAAGGGATTGACTTACTAGTCTACCTTTACCCCCACGAAGCCCGATCAGTCTTTTGCTGAGCAAAAGTACTGGCGTAGGTCTTTCTGTAAAGGATTATATTCCTTTGCAATTGAAGCTTTTGTCTTTCCCTAAAATGAATACCCTTAACATCTGACCCGATAATAAATAAATTCTCTGAACAATTGAAACAAAATCTTGGCATTAAGAATGCATCTTTGAAGGCGATGGTGGGAAAAAAGAGAGAAGAAACTAGGAGAACAACACAGAAATGGTATCATAAAAGAAAAAGGCTAAAAGTCAAGTATATCCCTTTTACTGCTTCAAATGTTTTAATCATATTTCTATATTAAAATTTTTAATTATCATATCTTTTGATTCTTAATTACATATGTATTTAATTTATTTGATTAATTTTTCAGACAACGAAAATAATTTTTTAATCTCCATAAAAAGAGATTAAATACATTTATAATTAAAAATAAAAAGATGTAATACGATTAAGATATTTGAAAGAGTAGAAATATAACTTGTATTTTTAACCTGAAATGAAAAAAGAAAAAAAAAGGAGGAAGTAGCGACAACAGACATGCACGCCACGGACAAGGACAAACGACCCATGGTAAAGATGCCTCAAGGGAATCACTTACAAGCCCGATCAGTCTTTTGCTGAGCAAAAGTGGTGTTGGTCTTTTTATGGAGGCTTATATTCCTTTACAATTGAAGCTTTGTCTTTCCATATCAATGGATTTATTAAGCATATAGTTATTAGCAAAGGAGAATCCAATTATCCAATTCTTTACTGCCTAATACTGATTAATTTCCCGTTTTGGGAAAAAAATTACCTCAATTTTCTCCCCCACTCAAATATTAAAAGAATATATCGTTTATTTTTTTCGTTTTATTGGGTTTACTTGTAATTATTATTTCCTAATCGTGTCTACTTAAATCACATCAAAAATCTAATCACACCCACTAGCCAGAAGTTTTTTATTGGGATCCGACTAGAATAGCACAAGGATCCAATCACAGCACCACCCCTACAATTATAACTATAAGAAAATGAAAAATATGAGGGGATCAGTTTTTCTTTCCTCTAAACAAGCTTTTTCTGCCGTCATTTTCTATTTTAGTTTATTTTTTATTAAAAATATAAAAGATAAAAAAATAAATAGATATTATGGAAAGATTGAAGAGGAAAAATATATTTTTTAAAAAATAAATTAATATTGATTAAAAATATTACTTAATTTTTAAAACTAAGTAGATTATTTAATTTACTTTCAAAAGTGACTATAAATCCATAGCGGAGACAACAAATTGACCCATCAATTATGGATCAACCAATCCGATGGCTGGGGGGTCACAGGAAAATCACAAGGGCTTTAATTTTACCTCGTGATCCAAAACAAAAAAGACAAGGCCGGAGACGAAACATAAATGGTGAATTGATGCATCGACTCGGACGTATTCTCTAATATGTTATTTTAAGAGTTTTTTCTTCTACGTATTTTATACATTCATATTTTCTTTCGTATACTGTTTTATTATTGTTTAGATACAAAGATATCCTTCAAATCATAAAAAATAATTAAAAAAACCTAAAAAATCAAAAATCAAAGTAAAAAATTGTAAGAAACTTGAAAATCTTAGATAAATGCATAAAAAAATTAAAAAAAATCTTAAAAAAAAAAAAAGAACTGTAACTAACTTGTAAAATCCAAAGAACGAAGAAACTAATAAGCCTCGTAATAGAAACTAGTCTACTCGTCTATGCTAATGAAATAAGTTTTAAAAGATACAAATTTTAAAATTTTCAGTAACTTTCTATTTATATATATATAAATATTACGAGTGTTTCATTTATTTTTTAGATGTTCCAAAGTTTTTTATGCTTTTATATTTTTTTATTTTATTTTTTACTTTTTCAAATTTTATTAAGTTTTTTAAGCTCTTTTTTTATGTTTTAAAATTAAAACTTTTTTTACATTTTTTTTTATCTAGAAATTGACAAAATGACATATGAAATAAAATATGAATATATAAACTAACATGAGTGTAAGAAATTATTAAAAGAACATAGAAAAAGAAATGTCTAAAATATAAGGATAGATTGATATATTATTTCAAATAAAAATTGTAGCAAGACAGACAAGTTATAGCGTAAGCTAAAAAAAATATTAATATAAAATGGTTTCTTATAGGAAAATAAAATGTGTTCTGGAAATAAAAAGTTGTTGAATGTTGAACTATTTTCTAATCATTCTCATTATTACAACATTTCCATCGGATTGCAAGAACTCAAGTTTAAATTGTAATAAAAGGTTCAACGCATCCTTTTTCTTGTTTTATGCAAATAATATTTCTGCTTTCCCAATAGCCGACAGAAATTGGGCTCTGCACGAATAGAAACGTGCCTAAAATTTCATCCTGGTATCATAGAATCTAATTAATTAAATTTATGAGTAGCTGGACTAATAATTTTAATTAAAAAAAAAAAACACTTTGTCATCAAGCATGAATAATTGAGTATTTCTGGTAGTTGAAGAAATATTAGTTTCATTAATATTAAAAATAAAAGAGAGAGTAATTAATAAATAAATAAAAACAGAACATTTTTGGTGCATGCAGACCAACCCCACTTGAAAAAAGTTCACATTACCGCAGACTGCTTGTCGTTAGATTTTTCTTTTTCACTTTTGGGGTGGTTGGAGACGACAAACTACATTTTAAAGTTTATAGCTAATTAATTTTCTTGTTTTCTTGTTGTATAATATTGAGGAAGTGTAGAATGTAGAGTTGTGTTAAATATTTATGTCATTTCACAGCATGTGAAATGCCATGGCAAATACAGACAAACAGAAAGGTGTGTGTGCTTGCAAAAGTTGAAAGTGCTCTAATGGTGACAAGAGTCAGTTGATCAATACAAGTCTGGTGGATGATTTTGGAGGAGAAAAGATTGATTAGATATAATTAATTTATCAAATTAGACCTCTCTAATTGTTACATAGTCCATCAATTGAACACGATCCTTAAACCACTTCACACAGACCAGAAAGTTCCTTCTAATCCCAAAACAGGACATCATCTTCATGTATACAGAGTCTTTTGGAAATTAACTGTTGGAACGTCATTGTTTTTCTAATTTTCAAAGTCTTAATAACATAGTTTCCTTCTTCTGTTTTTTTTTTTTAGGTAAAGCGTAACCCCCTCTTTTTAATTGTGAAAGGAGTGGTTTGAGTAAAATACTAATAACAAATGGGTTTATTCCATAATTGGTTATTATACGAGTTTTAAATTTTTTGATTGAGATCCTCTATAATTTTTTAAATTGATTAAAACCCTCTACTCTTAGAAATTTGTTGATTCAAACCCTTTGTTAGTTGTTTATCCGACATGGTACGTTAAAATTAACGATAACTAATCACAAATAGACATGTGACATAGTGAGTACTAGGTATGATATTATTATATAAAAAAAAAAAAAGTTTTTTATTATTAAACTATCTATTAGTATATAAAAGTGAATGAAAAAAATATGAAACTACCCCGACCCCCGTTATAATTGTCTAACTCATTCTTTTCCATTATGTCAAAACCAATTCTCCAAGTTCTCTCTCCATGCAAAATCAAGTTTTTCTTAGGACACTCCATCAATTATCCATAAACCCGCAAAATCAAGTTTTTTTCTTGGGACACTATCAATTGTCCATAAACAAGTTTAAAACTTGAAAGTTTATTTCGGACTTATCGAACTTATCTATCATTCCAAATCCTTCTCGAATTAACAAAAATAAAATTTCAAATTTCATTCCTCTTGTAAATGAAGCATTCCGCATAAATAAAATTCAATTTTTTTTAAATATGCATCCCTTACCATGGAAAATCGGTAGTATTATAATGTCAAAAATAGAACATCCGAAGTATCAAAATCATAACATTAATATAAGTTAGAATTAATAATTTTAAGATGAAAAAATACTACCTTAGGATATGAAAACAATATATAGATTGAGGTTCAATCTTAACTATTTACGATAGCAAATGATACCTAATGTGAGGATTTAGGATTGCATTTTACTATTATATCTAGACCATCTAAAAGACTAAAATTGATCGGGATCTATAATTTTATAACCTCTTTTCCTAGTTACCAACACGAATTAGTTTCCCATATTTGCCTTCTATACCCGGAAAATCCAACGGTAACATAACTTGTTCGTTGTGGCAACGAACATTGAAAATGAAAAGCTCATTTGTCTTCCTCATCTATAAAGGGAGCGATCATAATCTATCCATTTTTCAAGATCAAACATAGTTTCATAAGCTTCGTGGACTCTTATGAACTCAAAAGTTGTGTTCTCCCTTTGGCCATTAGCTACAACATTGGCTTGACTTCCTCTTTGGATCTTTAATGCAAAAAATAAAAAATAACCAAATGAATTCAATAAGTCCATTAAAATAAAATCAAGTTTTTCTTGGATCCATTCCTCCCTAGTTTGACCATCGAGGACTATAGCCCTTGTCCCTCCAACAACACGAGTGTCCCTAAACAAATCTTAGGGGTCGCCTAAGTACATTTAAAATCCTCCATATTGGTTTCTTGTTAGAAGGATTAAGGAGATAAAGTTGTGAGGCAATGTGAAGACCAACGACCGAGCCACCAAAGATCAAAATTCTACCGCCCGAGAGGCTTATAGCTATATGATCAAGTCTAGAAGGAGGAGCTATGCCACTCGGGTTTCCAACATCAAGCTTTTCGCTCCCTATTACACATCTCTAACAAGGTTCCTCCTCGGTTAGATCCATAGTGAATATAGCACTCGGAGAGGAATCAAAAGGGATAACTCTTAGCCAAACCCCCAAATATCAACATTTTTCTCGAATTCACTCATCAAAATTTTAAATTAGGCTCGGGTCGGATTTCCATGGATAGACCATAGTAAGATCTCTAATTTCTAATTGGGATTTTAAGAATCTAGGGATTTGGGGCATTTAGAGTTTACTTAAAGAGAGAGAGAAAGAAAGAGAGAGAGAATGGGTTTAAGAATGCAAAAGAATAATTCGAAGAAGAAGATGATGAAGAGAGGAAGCTTTCAATCATAAAAGAAGAAGATGAAGTCAAGTGAGGGACTCGAAAAATTAGGAAGCTTAGGATTTTAAACGGAGAAGAAAAAGAAGTAGCGAGGAAGCTTAAGGTTTCAATCTAAGAACAATAAGAAAAAGAAAAGTCAAGGACTAGAATTTTAGTATTTGAAGAAGAAGAAACATCGTAGAGAATGCAACGATTTAGTATTTTTGTAGAAAGAGACATTGAGGAGAGAGCAATGGATTTTAGAATAACAAGAAAAGGGTAAATTTATCTTTATGATTTATTTTCTTAATTTTAAATATTATTTTATTAAAAAGATCTTTTGTTTAATTTTGGATGAAAAAATTGTTATTTGAGACCTACAACATCACGTGTCGATCAATGATTAGTGGTTGTTAATTGTAATATGTTGTGCATGTTAGATGAACATTTGACGAAGTTATAACAAAGGGCTTAAATCAATAAAATTTTAAGAGTAGAAGGTTTAAATCAAGCTAAAAATTATAAAAAGTCTCAATCAAAAAAATTAGAACTATACAAGGATTAAATGTGTGTTAAACCCAATAATAGATGTTAATTATATGTCAAAGACTAAGCCTACAACTGTTGTAACAACTAGATAGATATGATATATTCAAATTTTGTAATTTTGTAACTCTTTGTATGTTGGCTAGTAACTAGGCTTTCGCTTGTAATTCACCAAGTATATATTCATTCCATTTTATTCAATGAGAATCAATGGAGAATTCTTCATCTTACACTTTTATCATGGTACCGCAGCATCGAACCCGATTTCTAATTCATTTTTCTCTCTTTTTCCAATGACTACCAACAACACAAACCTCATCCATAACATAAACGATTCTTATAACACATTAATCGGTATTAATGATGCAACTCAAACCCCATTAAAGCTTACCACAAGCAATTATGTATCCTAGAAACTCTAATTTAATTCCCTACTCATTGGTATGATCTCTTAAGCTACATCGATGGAACCAAACCTTGCTTAAATAATATTGTCAATGGTACCACTATACCAAATCCACATTATATAATCTAGATCAAATAGTATCAGCTTATTCTTAATATGATTCTTGGTTTTCTATCCCTCATAATTGTTTCTTTCATTTATGGAGTAAAAAACATCGAGATAAGCTTGGATAATTTTGGCCAACATATATGCCAAACCATCTCGTGGGTGAATCAAGCAGGTGAAAAATCAATTAAAGCAAGTCATCAAGGATTCCATGATTATAACCGAATTTCTCTAGATCGTCAAAGCTAAAGCCGATGAACTTGCAATCCTTAGTTCATCGGTCAATGATGAAGACCTATCGGATAGAATTCTTAAGGGACTTAAAGATGATTACAAAAAATTGATTCGTACGATTCAGAGCTAGAGACCCTCCAATCTCATTTGATGAATTAGATGAAATGCTTCTAAATTTTAAATTATCCCTTCTAGGTAACAACAAAGCCGAGTCCTTTTATTTCCCATTACAACTAATATAGCAACTTGCATCAATAATGGGTGGCGTAACTCATCAAATTTTGGTCCAACCTCAACTAAAAATAATAGTTGGCATTCAACTTTAACCCTTGGTAGCAATAATTTCGGACTCGATAGTGGCCCTCCAAAACCTTACCTTTGCTACTATCAAATCCGTAAAATCCAAGGACACACTCGTTAAGGGCTACCCCTTATTTTAACCGGTATCAATTCAATCCTTCAATACTATAAGTGCAATAATGCCAAATCTTCACGACAACCCAAAGCAAACTTTACTACTAACACTTCTAATTATCCTACATAGCTCGTAGATAGCAGTGTTTTTGCATCACGTCACCTCCGACTTGGGTAATCTATCACTTCATGCACCTTATAGCGACACTAATGACATTATGATTTGAGATGGCATAGGGCTTCCTATAGCCCATACTAGTTCCACCACTCTCAAAACTTCAAATGCTCAATTCTCTTTAATTAACTTTTTTTTAGTATTTAGCATGAAATGGAACGTAATTTCCATTTCTAAATTTTGCATTTCCAACAAACTCTACACTCTCACTATACTCGGGGGCTAATTTATCCGACCTAATAGAATTTCAAGCGATGGTGGGTAGTCTTAAATTTCTTCTTCTCACTCGACTTGACATAGCCTTCGTCGTTAATAAACTCTCTCAATTTATTTATAAACCCATAACCGAGCACTCGAACACTTATGAAGTGCCTACTTCGTTACCTTCTGGCACTATTAATCATAGTCTTCGACTTTACCATGACTCTTCTACTTTTCTTCATACGTTCTTTGATGCCGATTGGGCTAGAGATAAAGATTGTTTCTACTCCACTAGTGCTTATATTGTTTATCCTCATAGAAATCCAATCTCATAGAGTTCAAAAAATAACGAACTATAGCTTTTTCATCGATCGAAGTTGAATACTCGTTCAATTGCTAATACCACTCGTTGAAATAAATTGGGTGGGCTATTTGCTTATTGATCTCAATGGTCGACTTTAAACTATCCTATGATTTATTATGATAACATTAGGATAAATCGGTTATGTTCTAATATAGTTTTTCATTCTATGATGAAACACTCGGCTATTGATTTTCATTTCATTCGTGGTCAAGTTTAGAATGGACTTTTCGAGTTACTCATGTTTTCTCTACGGATCAACTCATAGATGCTCTCACCAAGCTATTTTCACAAACTCGTTTTCTTTTTTTAAGAGATAAGATTGGCCTCTATTGTCGGGATCCATCTTGAGGGGTATAGTAACGGATGTTGATTATCCGTCAAAGATTATGCATACAACTATTGTAATAACTAGATAGATATTATACATTCAAATTTTGTAATTTTGTAATTCTTTGTATCTTGGCTTGTAAATAGGCTTTTGTTTGTAATTCATCGGTATATATTTGTTATATTTCATTTAATAAGAATCAATGAAGAATTCATCATCTTACACTTTTATTAAACACTAGTATATTTTACACATGTTTATGCAGGAAAGCCCATGCTAAGACCTCGACTTGTAAAAATAAAAATAGAGCTAAATACATTATTTACATAATGTGGTTTTATGATACGAGTTCATTTGGATATGATACAGCTTCATTTGGAGAAGATAATAAGTTCGGAGTCGAAGATGATGAGCTAGACATTAATAGTTGACATGGCTAACTAACGACATTAAGTCGGCAAGGGAAATTGTTGAGCTCGTAAATTGAGCAATTAGGTTGTTAATAGTTGTTAGTAATTATTTAGTAATTATCTAGATGGTTAGGAATAAAAGAGGAGTGAAAAAAATATGGGAAGTAATCTAAGCTAACGTAAATTTCTCTCTTTTCTCTCTACTCTTTCTTCTCTCGTAATTCTTGTTCTTGTTTCTTTTATATTTCTTTCGTTTCATTGTATGCAATATTACATTAATTTCATTCAAGTATAATTCTTTGTTTCAATCAATTTCTAATACAAATTTATTTTTCTAATATGTTCTTGTAATTCTCTATTAGTTTTCCTTTGATTTGAGTTATAAGTTACATCAATTGGTATCAAAGCAAATTCTTACACTTGTGAACAAAAAAAGTGTATATTTATGATGAAAACAGGATCCGAATTAAAAAAAAAATAAAGGAATCAATTATTAACCTTATAAAGGTTATTACAAATTTAACTCGGAGGTGTGATTATGTGTTTTTACATCATGATCAAGAAATTGATGAGCTAAAGGAGTTGATAAATGGATTCAAGCACCTAATATTTTGAACCGAGTAATAAAGAGAATGAATGGTAATATTGAAGAGGTTTTCGATAGAGTAAATAGAGTAAATGGTAGAGGTTATAAGATACCTAGGTATGGATACCCGAGCAATTCCACTAGAATGATGAACAACAAATTTGAAGGATTTCTTGAAGGATATAACTACAATACCGATATGACTAAAGTGGAATTTCATAGATTCTCTCGTTGATGATTTTGAAGGTCGAGGCATTCATATATAAGAAGTTATTCATAGTGGATAGAACACCGGATGAAACTAAAATGCATTTAGCTATTATCCACTTGAAGACGAAGCACCTGGAATGGCATTAGGTGTTTGTGAAGATGCATGGTGTTAAAGTTGTGATTATATGAGAAAAATATCTAGAAACAATGAGTATACATTTTGGAGCGATGATCTTCATTGATCTTATAGCATAGTTGATGGGGCTTAAACGGACTCATGATGTGCAATCATTTTTTAGAAAATTCATTTCAATTGTCAATAGATTGAACTTACCCGAAGACTATATTATAAGTTATTTCATAGGAGGTTTACATTCCGAATTACAAGTGCTAGTGAAAATGATGCGACCTAAGACATTTACGAAGCAATAGCTTTAACGAAGCTTTAAGAAACTAACCTAAACCTACAACATCATTCCTAGAAATTCAACATCGGATTCTTAAACACTTATCATCCAAAACCATTTTTGAACCCTACAAACTCAAACCAGAGACTTAACACCAATAATTATAGACCTTCAAATGCTATAAACCAAAGTTCTTAAACAAACTTTAACCCCACTAATGTTCACAATCCAAAAGGCATATTACCTTTACCTCCCCAATTCTAAAATGGCAATTTTATGTTCGGAAAAAGAGGCTTCCAAGTAACGGTGAGCTAGATGAAAAAAGGTTAAAGGGACTATGTTACTTTTAAGATGATAAATACATGTTTCGCCATAAATGTAAGGGAAGACAGGTGTTTGTGTTAGAAGTGGAGGATTGCATAGTTAATGATGATGAGAATGATATGCTTAGGGAAGGAGAGGTATATAAAGATAAGGACAATAGAGATGGTTTAGCGAGAGAGATATATCAAATTTCAATTTATGTTGTATTGGGTGAGGAACATCATCGGACAATAAAGATAATAGGAGAACTAAAGAGTAAGATGATGAGTATACTTATAGATACCGGCAGTACTCATAATTTCCGGGATTTAGAGTTTGCTAAGAGGAATAGGTGTGTTCTGAGAGGATTGAACTAATAACCATTTACATGGCGAGATGGTAGGAATATAGTGTGTCGGTATAAGTGTACTAATTTTAAATAGAAAATACAAAGAGAGGTGTTTGAAGCTACTTCTTATGTAATACGAGTTGGGAATGTACGATATGATTCTAGGAGTAACATGATCGTATGCTATAGGAGATATAACCTGGAATTTTAAAAAGATGTGGATAAGTTTCTTAAGGGTGATAAGCTATTTTCTTTAAATGGGAAATACATCGAATTGAGTAAGAGTGAGATAGATAAGGTGATTGATCGAAGTATATGTAAACAACATTAATTAAGCTAGATGCAACTTAATCAAGTAGTGGACATTGAAGGCATGGAATTAACTAATCTGGAAATAGAGTTAGAGCAACCAATTCCAAGCATAACTAGTGATAGTATTAAATATGTTTGTAGATGTTTTTGAAGAGCCAAAAGGGTTACCACCTCAACGAATTCATGATCATAGAAAACTGAATGAAGGATTAGAACTCGTAAGATTGAAACCTTACAAGTACCATTTGGTTCGAAGGATGAGATTGAAAAACAAGTGCAAGAAATGCCGGATAGTGGAACTATACAACTCAATGTTAATCCATTCTCTTCTCCACTGGTGTTGGAAAAGAAGAAAGATAATTCATGAAGAATTTGTATGGATTATAGGAAGCTCAATCAAATGACTACTAAGGTTCGATTTCTTATTCTTATCATTAAAGAACTTCTAGATGAATTGCAAGGATCAATAATTTTTTGAAAATTGGATTTGAGAGCTGGTTATCACCAAATCAGAATGTTTGCTCTTGATATTTCTAAAAAAGTATTTTGAACTCATAATGGTCACTATAAGTATTTAGTTATGCCTTTTGGTTTAACCAATGCTCTTAGTACCTTCCAATCATTTGCATGGCGGATGGTAGGAATATAGTGTGTCATTATAAGTTTACTAACTTTAAATGGAAATTACAAAGAGAGGTGTTTGAAGCTACTTCTTATGTAATACGATTGGGAATGTACGATATGATTCTAGGTGTAACATGATTGTATGCTATAGGAGATATAACTCGGAATTTTAAAAAAGATGTGGATAAGTTTCTTAAGGGTGATAAACTATTTTCTTTAAATGGGAAATGCATCGAATTGAGTAAGAGTGAGATAGATAAGGTGATGGATCGAAGTATATGTAAACAACATTAATTAAGCTAGATGCAACTTAATCAAGTAGTGGACATTGAAGGCATAGAATTAACTAAGTCTGGAAATAGAGTTAGAGCAACCAATTCCAAGCATAACTAGTGACGAGTATTAAATATGTTTGTAGATGTTTTTGAAGAGCCAAAAGGGTTACCACCTTAATGAATTCATGATCATAGAAAACTGAATGAAGGATTAGAACTCGTAAGATTGAAACCTTACAAGTACCATTTGGTTCGAAGGATGAGATTGAAAAACAAGTGCAAGAAATGCCGGATAGTGGAACTATACAACTCAATGTTAATCCATTCTCTTCTCCACTCGGTGTTGGAAAAGAAGAAAGATAATTCATGAAGAATCTGTATGGATTATAGGAAGCTCAATCAAATGACTACTAAGGATCGATTTCTTATTCTTATCATTGAAGAACTTCTAGACGAATTGCAAGGATCAATAATTTTTTGAAAATTGGATTTGAGAGTCGGTTATCACCAAATCAAAATGTTTGCTCTTGATATTTCTAAAAAAGTATTTTGAACTCATAATGGTCACTATGAGTATTTAGTTATGCCTTTTGGTTTAACCAATGCTCTTAGTACCTTCCAATCATTAATGAATGATATCTTTAGACCTTTTTTTTGAAAATTCATTCTGGTATTCTTTGATGACATTCTCATTTTAGTAAAATCTTACATGAATATGTTTATCATTTACAAACTGCATTGAGTGTGTTGTGGGAAAATTTTTTGTTTACTAAACAATCAAAATGTACCTTTGGTAATCCAAAAGTAGAATATCTAGGGCATTTTATATCGATAGATTGGTGTTCAAATGGATCCAAAAAAGATTAAAGTGGTGCAACAATGGTCTATTCCTAAGAATTTGAAGTAGTTTAGGGGATTTTTGGGTCTCACGGGTTACTACAGGTATTTCGTGAAAGGTTATGGCGGAATAGCTAAACCTTTGATCGAGTTGCTCAAAAAGGATGGTTTTGTATGGAATTCGCTACTCGATAGAGCTTTTTTGGAGTTAAAAAATACAATGGTTACAACTCTAATATTAGAACCACCTAACTAGAATAAAGACTTTGTGATTGAAACAGATGCATCCGGAAGGGGAATTGGAGCATTATTATTGCAACATGGTTATCCAATTGCTTACATTAGTAAAGTATTGAATCCTAAACACCAATCATTATCCATCTATTAGAAAGAGTTATTAGCCATTTTTTTTGCTATAAAAAAATGGCATTAGTATTTGAGACACATACACTTTATCATCGTAACGGATCATCATAGTTTGAAACATTTGTTAGAGAAATAGTTATACACTTCTAGTTAGTTTACTTGGTTAGCCAAACTAATGAGATATGATTATGAAATCATATATAAAAAGGGTAGGGAAAATATGGTTGTATATGCATCTTCAAGAATGCAATTGGCTACCATTTTTGTTTTTGCTATATCTATCGATGTGATGACTAAAATTCAAAATTCTTGAAGTTCGGACCTAAAGCTAACCAACATCTTATCACAATTATAGGTTTCTAGAGGAATATATCCTAAGTTTGTGTAGCAAGACCAACAGCTATGAAGAAAAGACAAGTTGGTAGTTGGCAAGGTAGATGGATTACACGAGGAACTGATTTCATTCTTCCATGATTCATCTATTGGTGGCCATTCCGGAATTCAAGGAACTACAAAAAGGTAGCAGACTATGTTCTATTAGAAAGGTTTACACAAGGATGTGCGTGAATATATATGTAATTATCCAATTTGTCAAGCATGTAAATATGAAAATATGGCTACTCCAGTGTCTACTACAACCGTTACCTCTACCCTCATGCCATATTTACCGAAATTACCATGGATTTCATTAAAGGATTACCAACTTCTCAAGGTAAGTCGAGTAATCTTTGTGGCTATAGACAGATTTACTAAATATGCTCATTTTATATCCTTAGCTTAGCCTTATATAGCTAAGGCAAGTAGCTATTGTGTTTATGGACAATGTATACAAATTGCATAGATTACTATAGACTATTGTTTCGGACAAAGACTCAGTGTTCTTGAGTAAACTTTGGAGGGAGTTGTTTGCTTATCAAGGATTTTCATTGCAATTTTCCACTACTTATCATCCCCTAAAATGATGGGCAATCAAAGGTGGTTCACGAGTGTCTTTAGATAAATTTAAGATGCATAACCGTTGATATTTCGAATGCTTGGCATAAGTGGTTATACTTAGCCGAATTTTGGTATAATACTTCTTTTCATACCTCAATTCAGCGAGACCCTCTTTGAAGCTCTTCATGGGTATTCCTCTCCTATCCACCTATCATATCCGCCTAATGATTGTAAAGAAGTAGAGGTTAATGAGCTTCAAGAGATAAGGAGCATATCATCTAAGTTGCTTAAGCACCACTTAACAAGGGCACGAGTAAAGGATGAAAGGGCAAGCCGATAAAAAATGCACCGGTAGGGAATTCAATATTAGTGATTAGGTTTACTTGAAGTTGCGGCCTTATAGACGGCATTCGGTGGTTTCCAGAAGAATCGAAACTTTCCCTCGCTTTTGGACCCTTCAAGTCGTCGGACAAAGTTAGAAGTGTTGCTTATACCCTAGAATTACCTCCTAACTCTCAAATTCATCCTACATTTCATGTATCTCAACTTAAACTCGTTAGAAGAATGATGAGGGTGCAACATGATTTACCTATGTCTCTTAATATGCCACCTTTTCCAGATGGCTATTCTAGACAAAAAAATGGTCAAGCATGGGAACCAAGCTACCGATTCAATGGTCTAATGGGACGATTCTTGAAGCTATTTACGACTTTGCATTTGATATTACATATCGTTTTTCTCAATTTAACCTTAGGGGCAAGGTTTCTTAGGGAGGAGGGTATTGATACGATTCGTTTGGGTAAGATACCGAGCTGGAGTCGAAGATGGTGAGATTGGACATTAATAGCTAACATGGCTAACTCGGTGGTAGTGAGTTAGCAAGGGAAATTGTTAAGCCGACAAATGGAGCGATTAGGTTGTTAATGGTTGTTAGCAATTAGTTAGTTGCCGACTAGTTGGTTAGGAATAAAAGAGGAGTGAAAAGAATGTGGGAAATCGGCTTAGCAAACTAGAATTTCTCTCTTCTTCTCAGGCTCCTTCTTCTCTCGTAATTCTTGTTCTTATTCATTCCGTATTTCTTTCGTTTCATTGTATGCAACATTAAATTGATTTTATTCAAGTATAATTCTTTGTTTCAATCGATTTCTAATACAAATTCATTTTTCTAATCTGTTCTTGCAATTCTCTCGTTAGTTTTCCTTTGATTTGAGTTGTGAGTTGCATCATTTTACTAATTGTTTAAAAAAAATCTTATATATTTTCAATTAGATCAATTGAGCATCTATATTTTCAATTTCAATCAATAGACTATAATTTGTCTATATGAAAAATGATAATATTTAATAGAAAATGTGGGATTGGTGATGATAATAATAGAATTTAAAGAAAGTTGATGATAATAAAATATGTAATGATCAAGAGTATTTAATTAGTTGAAGTAAATTTTTAATTTTAAAAAGTTGTACTGGATTAATTTAATTAAAAAATACAAGTGTTTAATTGACTGAATTAATAATATAGGATTTTTTTTCTTAATAAATTGGTGCAAATATGTGGCAAAAATAATGAGTTTCTCCATAAAAATAAGACCTTCAAGAACTATTAATTAACGGTGGGAGGGGGAGGAGGAAAGATGATTGAGTTATGAAAATATATATCAATCATTTCTCATGACAAACAAAGTTTAGAACTCCATGGTGGTTTTGAGAATGACATAAATCTGCTTTCATTGGAAGTCACTTTTAACTTGAAAGAAAGAAACCGATCGATAAGATGTTTTTGTAAATGTTACTTGCAACCACAAATAAGCACCCAATTGCTTGATTGTTTATGAGATAGACATTCTTCGATGTGGCCAGAAATCTTCCCCACTAGTCATTCATACACCCGCCCTTCATTTTTCCTTTTCTGGCTTCTTTCTTTTCCTGCTTTCTTGACATGAATAAATGAAGACAATTTCTATGCGGTTGCAAACGCACCGCCCCCCACAGCTATTTGTCACACAAAACAAGGACATGAATCGAAATATCCGCCAAATACTGTGTCTCCAGTGAGGTAATCCTACGTAAAAATCTTGAAAGGCTGCAAATATATACCGAAGGACTCAAAATTTGATTTATTGTATTTCATCATTTGTTTATTAACTGCTAACCTCCTAATTTATTTACAATATCGACGGTCACAATCGTATAAGCGATCGTTTCTACAACGGTGTCTGCAATTTAAAACTATGATGCAGAATCTTATTCAGTAATCTAACAAAACCTGTCTCAGATCAAATCAGTTTCATTGCTACTTCCAAGCCAAACGGAACGGAACTGCAAATACTTTGGATATACCATACATGTTATACAGCGGACTTGGTGATTGAGAGTTTTAACACGTAAATAGTGCCATTAAGCTTGGGAACATTATTCTTTCAAGTCATCTAAGAAACAAAGCTCATTCATTTTGGTTTTTACATATTTGAGTGACCAACTCGGACCTGAACCCGGTGCCATGAAGTGTTGAGTATCCCTCTCAAATTCCAAATCTCCTGCACATTTTCAGGTTGGACATTTGCTGCCGAATCCACCTGTCCATGATGAATAGAAGGGAAAAAAAATTGTAAAATAATTACGGCAATGGACATGTGAAAGCAGTTCATTTAGAAAACTATTTTTTCTTTGAATTATGATCCGACATGAATGGAAGCTGACAGGAAGAGGGGACATAATTTTATGGGCCAAACATGAGTTGGAAGCTCTCAACTTCAATAAAATGCCCTGGTTCAGATAATGCTTTGCAGACTCATGGCCATGGTCAATTGTGACAGACATCATGGACCTACTAGAAATATTTATTTATAGGTAACTCATTTACGTATCTTCAGTGTATTTCTCAGCATATGTAATTGCTGGACAATTCTGAGCATGAGTCCCAACATTTGGCATATTTAGGTTAAAAGTATAAAAAACAGTGAATCACAATATACTTGCTGTAAGGGAAAACATACTGCTTTAGCGACAATCTCTGTACTCTGTGAAACATCAACTGTCACATCAAAAAGCACCCATGCCCATTTGTCACTGTTCATGGCATCTGAGACGTATTGGACACCAGGCTTCTGGTATCTGGAGGCTTCCACCCAGGTTTTGCCACCATCAACAGACACATCTACTCTTTCAATTCCTCGGCCACCTCCGGATGCTGCATATCCACTGACTTTAACCTGTAAAATATAATAGTAGACACAGATCAGGATCACCTGAATATGACTCAACATGTAGAGGAGCTTAGAAGCAACTCCTGCTTTGCCAAGGCAACCACCCCCTGTGGGAAGAAATCTAGAAAGTAAGAACTGTTTCTTGATACAAAAAAGCAAAGAATTAATGAAGCTGTGAAAAATATTATGACCAGAAAAATTCAAAGGAACCATTATACAAGCCTAATAAGTTCAAAACTGTGGAGCCACAATTTCTCAGTAACACTGCTAGACGGAAAACTCAGAAGGAATTCTAATTTATGCATGCTAAATCGATGAGATTAAGAAACAAGAGAAAACTCTGTTATAGGCATGGTGCTTTGGCATGCCATAATTGACAGGTAAGGAAAAAACATATTCATATGTACACTTGAGCTCAATGACATATAATAGCACCAAGAAACTAACCTTCCCAGGCTTTATTGCAGTGACATCCTCTAATGAACAAATTACACTCTGTCAATCAGAAAATTTGCAAGTGTTAATCAAATAATTATGTTGCTAAAAGGATGAGTTGGACTTGTATGTTTCCTATAGAAGGAAAATTAGATGCAAATGACAAACAAACGTTCCTCACTTCATTTCCATACTGCAGTCCAATCAATAAAACAACTCAAATGGTAATTCAAATTGCATGCAGTCCAATCAATAAAAACAACTCAGATGGCAATTCAAATTGCATAAGCCATCAAAGGACCTTCTATCTTGTGGAAACAATAGTCAGGCATAAACATCACCAAATACCTGCCAGAAAAATAGAAAGACACTTTTCAAGTAAATACCTGAACAGGGAAATCCATTTGTGGCCTCCTTGAAGACCAATTGATATTGTCCCAATTCACTGATGGAGGAAACATTTTATAGTCCTTTTGCATAAAGAATCCCTGCAAGGTGGCAAAGTATATTCAATCACATGACAGTCGGAATAACAAAAGGAACTACGTTTGCTAAAACAAACACAACACTTTTTGTGACCTGGGATTCTTCTGCAAGAATGTTGATACAATCCAACCATTTGACAGATCGAGCACCTATAACACCTGGGACAACCACTCGCAACGGATAACCATGATCCCTGTTTAGAGGCTTTAGAATGACAATAATATTGTATATTAATATCACAAATCAGTTTATTGAGAAATTATGCTGGCAGGAGAAAAGTAAACGATAGAAAGAAAGGCGAAATTGCTGAAGGAATAGTGAAGAGTACACAACAAAGTTCGTACCTATACAGTAACATGAGATCAAATTTGTTGAAATCATATAAAAATGGATGTGCCCCACACGCAACACATTGCTCTATCAAATTACATGGATCAGGTTTAAAAAGAAAGCTATACTAAAAGTATGTCTCCTTTAGCTAAATGTACCTTTCCATCACCTATGTAGTACATTGGTGTACACGTGGCACTTGTTTGTGTACTTATTTAGTGCACAATTATCAAGCATCTTCAAACAAAAACCAATATGTGCCCAATAGGACAAGATGAAAATTCATCCTCAAAACCTACATTGATACACAGAACATGTGAAATGACACAATTTTCTGACCTGTGAGCATTAGACAGTAATCATTCACATAAAAAATAATAAGCTGATTGCTAAAGATTGGTTAGCTGATCAGTTTATACTAAACAACCACTAAGGCACTAAATGCAGATGTTGGAACCTAGGCCTACCTTATTGTAGACACACATAACTAAAATGATATAGTAGTTTCATCAGTATAAAGATGTCAGAAAGCTAACTGAAAAGCAATGACTTAATGTAGCATAAGAAATAACAGTATCACCACCATCAAAAGTCTGGTTTTGATAAGGTGTGGAGGAAACACACTTTTTTTTATATCCATAACGTAAATTAAACAGTTCAAAACCTCTTATCAACTCCACTAACCTCCCCATTCATCTCGTAAGCAAGCAAAACATCAGCTTCAGGGTTTGTTGCCTGACTGATTGGAATTGATGCCTTGTACGGGCCTCCATTCTCTTCCTACACTTTTTTAATACAGCTTTAATAAGAATTATATGAAGACAGATCTTTTAACAGTCAAAAATGTGCACTAAACAAATGGAAGAGTTGTAGAACTGCTATTTAAATGGGCAGGCTACCTTACACTTATCGACGCTTACAAATTCAACATGTTTTCCACCTGATTTAGTGGTACTTGTCAACTTAGATATCCCAATAAGCTCGAGAACATCAGCCAATTTGGCACCACCCCACACACCTGAATGGAACCGAAAGAATTAGAGAAACAATAGCATTGTTTGTATAAACTAATTTGCACAAACAATGCCCCCCTCTGAGATCCCTCTTATGAGCAAACACATTTTTTTTTCCTTTAATACAATTCATATATACATAGATTGAACCATCATTAAAGGATCTCAAACAATTCTGAATAAACTTCAATCCATCACATAATGTGCCAGCAGATCCACTTGACAGGTGCTAATTTTTTAGATTCTACACTGCAAATTCAAAGGACCATCTAGCAACCTGGCAAACTTACCCAAACTCCCAACATGCACTATATATTCAATAACATTCCAAAGTTGATAGGGCTAAAATTGAGAACAAACCATTTCCAATAGCAGAAACACCCCAGCCAACCCCTTTCACTGTTTTGACTTTGCTCATGGCAGTCCTTCTGTTGCCAGCACACTGTTTAGCTCAAACAAACAACAGAACCCATGATGATTTTTATTACAACAAACATATTAAGGCAATAGATTACATCACATTGGAACAACGAACGAGCTAATGACAAATGTATTACTGAACACACCTGTAATGTGGCAGTGACATTATATTTTGGAAGCATCCTGTTATTTAAAAATGACATAAGCTCCTTGTCCAAGAACATATAAAGCATGTATAGCATAAATCGCTCATAAACTAGAGTGTACCCAGAACTCACTTGATTTCTCTCATGAACAATTCTGTAGGGTTGTCAATCAAACCACGAATCGAAACAGAATATCTGCTAAGCCACATAAGTAGTATTATCACTTAAGGTATTCCAACAATGAACTATATATCAAGGTGTAAACACAGAAATACAACTAAAATGAGTGAATACAACCTTTCTAGGTCATCAACAACCGGAATGGGACCATGATTTCTCTTGTAGAACAAATCCACAGGCGTCACATAAGAAGAAACCAAGGCTGAGCGAGGTGGTTCAGCATTGAAAGGTTGCTGCAACGTGTAAAATATAAAAAGACCATCAATGGATGTAATAGATTTCCCGGCAATACACATACAACGTAATAACAAAAAATGTAATAAACTGATATTGAAAAGAAAATTCCCCAAGAAAACATCCAAATTTTACAATTAGTCTCAAAAGAAATGAAAAGAAATTTCTTCTAATAAGCCAAGTCTTAAGGCAAAAGCTAATCCCCAGAAATCTAGAAGGTAAACCCAATTGAAAGAAGTAAACTTTCTATCATTCAAGATTTCAAAAGTTCAGTATTATTGTATCATCCATAACATCACACACAATTACATTACAAATTTTTCCCATATACTACAAGTTCAAGCTCAAATGCTCCATAGAAAGTCTCAAATGTGAAAATTTGAAAAACCCACATCAGGAAATGGAGTAGAAACATAAAGCAGATAAATACAATCCAAAATCATCGAATTAAAAGAACAACAGGTAGAAATAAGCGAAGAAAAACAACAAGCTATGAATGATTGTTTTAGTGGTGAAAAAGAAAGCTGGCCTTGGCATTGATTTGGAGGCAAGGGTGACGAGCTGGTTCTCGTGAGTAATCTGAGGGTCCTTTCACTCCTGGCATTCTTCCCTTCAATTTGCTATCAGAATCACAATTATACAGAGACAGACACACAGTTTATTACTTCTGTTCCACCGATTTATAGAAATGGTAATAATGGTAAATAGAGGCACAATATACTAAATGTGGAGTAACTAACAATACCTTTTTTTTAAAAAAAAAAAAAAAGATAATTAAAAAAAAGTTTTCGGATAAATTCAGATGTAATTTTTCTATTTTATTACTATCTATCTCTCGTAGGCTAATGGAATAAATATTTTTAATCTTTTTATAAGTATTTTAAAATTTCTCGAATATATGTTTTTGTTAAAATTCAATCACAATCATTTTCCTTTTTAATTATAAAATTTATTGTCAATATTAAAAATATTATCATATAAAATAATATTTATATAATATCATTAATTTTTATTTAAATATTTATTATTATTTTTTTTAAAACAAACTACCAACAGATGAAATATAATAAATACATTTAGAAAAATAATTTCACAAATGTCTTAGAGACACTTAGTACTTGAAATCTAGTTGCAGTTATGTTCCATCCATTGAAAATAAATAAAATAAAATAAAAAGCCTAAATCTTGGCGGTGACGAAGTGATAAAATGGCTTTTTTAAAAAAAAATTAGTATCGGTGATTTGCGAGGTCCTTGTTGGCAATGGTGGGTCTAACTAGAAAGCAGAAACTGTGGATTCCGCCACTAGATTACGACGGAGATACAAATGGAAAGTGACGGAGACACCAATTTAAAATGAGAAGGAAAAATAGTTGGTCGCTTCACTTAGGTTTGTGTTCAGGCAAAAAAAAATAGAGTAAAAGACCTGAAGGGTTGCATCAATAATACGTGGATTCCATCATCCTGGAACACAAAGAGACATTTAATTAATTGATATTTCTTGGTTTGCAAACCCATTCCCGTTTGATACTGAAGTTGCACTTAATAAAATAAAATAATAATATTGGCTTACGATAAGAAATGAAATCTCAATCCGACTTTGGGAAGCTTTTTCAAAAAATAAAGTTAATAAAATGAGAATAAAAATATTATTATTTTCACATTATAGTTATTTAGTTAAAATGAATGAAATGAGAATAAAAATAAAGAATTGAAATGGAGATAAAAATTTTACACAACTTCATTTTCATTTAAAATATGAGAATAAAAATAAAAAATAAGAATGAATTTTTTTAGAAAATAATTATATATTTTATTTATTTATTTTCTATTAACTACAATCACAACCACAACCATCATCACTTTTATTATTTTTACAATTATTATAATTTGATAAAATTATTTTTTTAATCCTTATTTTTATTTGTATAAAAAATCAGATATTGAAAAATTTAAATTGCATTTCGATTCCTTATTAGTATTCCATACACAGTATGAGAATAAAAATATCATTTTGATTTTTTAATTTTCATTCCGATTCGACATTCTCATTTTGGATCTTTCATTTCTAGTAACCAAACGATATCATAATGCAAAAACAATGTTGAAGTATGAAAACCTCTTCTATCATGAATTGTTACCAATAAATTAAAAGAAAATGAGAATTCACTATTTGTGATATTATTTTTATACTATTCACGATCTTAAATTTGACTATTCATCGAAATAACTGTCCATAATATTATTTTTAAATTGTTTACTATATCATATTTTACTATTCAGTTAGACTCATTAGTTGGCTGTATTTTTGTAATTTTGTGATTTTTAAGAGTCATTGAAAGTTGGGAATTGACCAACGTAGCATTAGGTCCTTTTATTTTTCAATAGTTCTATTTGGATACCCATACTTTAGTTCCATCACATTAGCCTATGTTTGGATATTTCCTCTTGGGAGGAAAGAAAAGAGAGGAAAGAAAACTATTTTTCATTTGTTATTTGGATAAGAATAGAAATGAAAAGAAAAAAATATGCTTTCCTTGTTTGGATAATTGTAAAAAGAGAGAGGAAAGAAAATGTATTATTATATATTTACTATAATACCCCTATGATTCCATTTCTATATTTAAATACTTATAATAAATTTGTATGAATATTTTTTCATTAAAATTGCATAAATGATAATAAAATAAAAATTTAGTATATAGCATCTATTTGAAATGACAAAATGGATAATGACTTGTCTCTATAGAATAATCGATAACTCGTTTACTAATTAATTAATTCAATAGCCAATTTAGATTGATTATCAACATAAAATTAATTTAAACATGTATAACATGTATTATTATCTACGCATATAATAAGTTAGTTGCTTTTACCCATCATTTTCTCAGCTTTTTTTATTTTGGATTAAAAAATTACTATTTAGCAATTCAAAAAAAAAAAAGTTTATTGTAGCATTGCGAACAATAATGAAAAGTCAATTGAATCACAAAAAATGAGACAAATTTCATATTTGGACGGACGAGCATAACCCGTTAGTCGGGTGAACACTTCAAAGTTATTGCAAAATTTGCAAGGTTCCCGAAAACCCAAGGTAGCTTTTGTTGCTTATTTTTCCGTCAAAAATACTCAATCAAATGCAACCTACAACATCATGTTGTGGCTGCTAACAATCCATCACACGAAAATATGTTTAGCCTTTTTTTTTAATAATAATTTTTTATTTCTTCCAATTGTACCCTTATTTAGTTTACTTAAAGGACTAGAAGCTTTGATTTTTTTTCAATTATACCCTTGATTGTCTTTTGAATTGTTTCCAATTCGTTATTTTTTTCAATTAGCTCCCTTCTTTGAATTAATCTAAACTAGAACATTCTAATAGCTTTTTTTTTTCTATTTTTTGCTTGATTTGTTTTATCTTTTTTTTTTTTTGGTATTTTTGGCTTGACTCTCCTCCAAGGTGATGAATTGATTTTTTTTTAAGTATCCAAGTCAAATATTTTTTTTCTTCTTTACTCTTTAATCTTTGCTTTTGATTTTTATTTTCATTTCAATCCTTATTTTTACCTTATTTCTTAATCTTCTCTTTATTCTTTATACCTATAAATTCAAAACGTATAAAGATTAATTTATATCAAATAGAACATAAATCACATACATAATTAATGAATTCAAGCTTCAAATATTTATAAATTATACTTATCAAGAATTATGAAGAGATTTTGAGTGAGAGAGAGAGAGAGTCATGACATTCTTATAGATAGTGGTTGATAGCTCAAAAGGTCTGTGAGAGTGCCACGAAAAAATCCAAAGTATTTTGTTATGCATTACACGTGTTAAGTTACATGAACCACGTGGATTGAGTTGTAAGAGCCATGCATAGAAATTGGTCTTAAGTAGTCGTAAGAAGCACGTCAAATGCTTGCTTGTGAATAAGTCTAGAAATTTTTTATTTAAATTCAATAATATTGTGACCCTGTTGTAATTACTCGTTAAGGTCTTAATTCTTAGGGATATAATCTAAGGATTAGGAAAAGGTTGTTATTTTCTTTCTGTATTTAAACTCTTTTCAATTATATAACAAACAAGCTTATTTCAACTAAAATTCTATGATCGTTTTCACCTTAACTAGAACTCTATTTCATTATTTATTCTAAAATTTGATTGGAACCTATCAGTGGTTATGAAACCTTGCATGATGGATAAAAAGAGACTGGAGTTCAAAAATATAATTAAGTTTTTGGATTTGATTTGATTTTTTTTTTTATTATTTTCATTAATTAAAATGTGTTTTGAGGTTAGAAATGGATATTTGAAAGTCTTTGACATCATTTTATGGCATTTGCAGTGAACAAATGGCGAAGAAATTGAGGTTTTAAGACCAAAATGGACGACTCATGATTTTTCAACAATCAAAGAGTAATTTATAATAGATGATGCGCAGTCCGCTTGTTTCTTTGTTTTGTTTTTGTTTTTGTTTTTTTGTTTTTGTTTTTGTTTTTTTTTTTTTTTCAGGATGGCCTGACCCAGTCTTCCCCAGCCTAATTAAGCACGCCTGCATGATCCAATTGTTTTTTTTTCTTTTTAATATATTTATGATTTATATATATATTTTTAATTCTTTAAAATTAATTGTGGTTTGTATACAACCTTAAAATATTGTTTCTATGTATTTTGTATAATGTGCAAACTTAGAATTGTATAGAATTTTCAAGTATTTATGATATATGCATAATATTTTTTAAAAATAAATACGATTTTCTTCAATTGAGTGTATTATTTTTTTATAAAATACTAAATTAATGGACTAAAAGCTTGGGATCTGATTGTGTAAAAAAACTTGACATCATGCAACACATGCATGTACATATTGAAATTAATTTTTCTCCATGTCATCATATTTTTAAACTTCTCAATGATTGTGAACCCATTGCCCAACAATTTAATTATTTTACTAATGCATAGAATTTTTATTGATGATGGCTATGAAACCTTATATGGTGCATAAAAAGAGATTGGAGTCCAAAAATACAAATGTATTTTGAGGTTACAAATGGATTTTTAGAAGTCTTTGGCATTAATATAGCATTTGAAGTGAAAAATGGTGAAGAAATTGAGTTATAGTGGCCAAAACCGATGGCTCATGATTTTTCGACAATTAAAGAATAATTTACAATATACAATGCACCCTTCGAGCATTTTTTTTTTTTAGGAGGGTCTGAGCCAGGCTTCCCTAGCCCAGACAAGCCTGCTAAGGTCCAATTGTTTTTTAAAAAATATATATATTTATGCTATATATATATATATATATATATATATATATATATATATATATATATATATATATATATATATATATATATATATATGAAAAAAATGATTTTCTTCAATTCAGTGCATTATTGTTTTATGAAATACTGAATCAATTGATTAAAAACTTGAGATATGACTGTCTAAAAAACTTTATATAATACAAAATATGCATATACATATTTGAAGTTAATTTTTTTTCCTCCATGTCATCATATTTTTAAGCCCGTTGCACAATGACTTAATTATTTTACTATTAATTGCATAAAAAAATTTATTTTGATATATAGAGTTTTTTTTTATTTGAAAATTTAATAAAAGTAAATTTTAGGAACACAAGTGCATAAGTAATTAATTAAAAATAAAATAAAAATGATTATTAATGATAAGTATTTGAAAATTGTTATTTTTGTAGTAAAAAGTATATTGAGCAAATCGATTTTAAACTAAAATAAAACATCAAAAGTGGTGAAACCATGAATTTCTCATATAAATAATTTAAAATAATTATTATAAATGATAAAATAATAAAAATAATATATTGTTTAATCAAATAGAAAAAATAAAATAATAAAAATAAATGAAAATAATTGCAAATTAGTTGTATAAATCGATATGTATGTTTACTGCTTATTTTCAGGCTACATTCGAGGTCTGCTTTTTATCTGCACATATTCAAACCTGCATGAGATCTTTCGTGAAGGAAATTACAATATTAATCCCTACCTAATATTATTTATATAAACACCCTGCCAGCCACATTTCAACAAAGCATTCTTATCCAGTGGGACTCGATACACAAGAAAGAGAGGGGAAAAAAATTGCTTTCTCTTGATTTGCGATTGCAGGCATAGTTACTTAAGTATCAGGCCACCTGTGGTAAATAAATTTGCTTCAAAATGACAGATTAATTGCGTTGTTGGGCTGAAAATACTTATAAGATTGTCAATGCATGATCTACAAAGAAAGGCCATCATAACTTCAGAAGAAGTGATCGATAGATCATCTGTAATGATGAAATATATCAGTAATTTTCGTAATAGAAGAGGAATGAGGTTTCGGTACCTGTCTAGTACGGGTTGAAAGCACCCCAGAAACATTAATTGAATATCTTACACGGTAGCTAGGAAAGTAATTAAACGAATTTGTAAGTGAAAAAAGCAAAGAATTTCAGAAGTCACAAAGAGACATAATATATTGCAGATAAAACTAACCAAAATAAGAGCACCAAACTTTCAGAGAAAAAACCCTAGACGTTACAAAAGTACTAGCTAGATCGAAATAACATAATGGGAAAAAGGTTCCCATTTCAGATCCTAACAAACAGCTTCAACAGCAAGCCTATACGAATCAAGCTTGCATCGCAAAGATCCAAAAGTTTCTTCAGACACTTTCAGCGAACACTTTTCCTTTCCAAGACAAGCCTGCCAACAAAACTAAATTATTCAATGATCAGTATGTTATGCACAAGAAAAAGTAATTACACTCTACAATAATCAAAAGAGAAAAGAAAAAAAAGTTGATTACATCTTTGACAACTGATAAAGTGTTTTCAGCCTGGCATTTTCCTTTCTTGAAAGACCCACAGCTGCCCTCTGGTAAACCGAAGCTAGCAAATTTGATTCGCGAGAAAACCCTTCCTCCTTGGCATGATAATTCTAAGGAGTGACCTTCATAAGCATCTGCACAAACTGTTCCCACTGTAACAGTTTGGAAGGTGACATGCTCAGGAGTGCCACCAAGTTCTTCAAATAAAACCAGCACATTATCATCATCTTTAAGAAGAGATCTTGGAATGTGGTACCTGCAAAATCATGCACGTTTTAAAACAATGACATATATGTGTGAAAAACCGAAACAAGAGAATAATTTTTTTTAAAAAAAAAAAGAAAGAAAATCTTAAAAAAATTTATCATAGATTTGATTACCATCTTTGGGAAGGTTTGCCACAGTCTGTTCGACACCGGCCGCCATTGTAATCTCCTCTATAGTCACATTTTACCGGGCATCCGTCTTCTGGGGCAAGTTGCTTAGGCCAATATCTTCCAATGTCAAAACCATTCACCCATGCAACTCCCTTACCCAAACCAAGCAAGTCTACGACTACAGGATCGCTACCCATTGGAGCTGTGAACGTTGTCTAGACGTTGTACACAAATAAATAAGTGAAAGTACATAATGAAATAAATTAAACAAATATGGAAAAAAAAAAACAGGTTTATTTTGATGATACATTACCCTGTACCAAATCATCCCCCTCTTTGAAGGAAGATTTTCGGTCTCCCAGTTGTGATGATGGGGGTTTTCAATTAAATTAAGTCCAAGATCTACACCATGTAGTCCAGTTTTGTACACCCATTTGTTTGATGAAATATCTTTCTCCACATCACCATTTTTGGTTTTCGCAATCAACTTCACTGGACCGTGGACTCCTACTTTTATTGTATCAAAGAATGAACCATAGTTCTAGCCAAATCACAGAAATCAAAGAGATCCATGTGAGCAAAAGTCAGAGGTTACTGAAAAAAACATTTTATAGTCGAATAACTTAGATTATTCTTCATGTATACTGGAACTTACAGCCAAACCAACAGTTACACTAAGTAAAGTAAGATAGTTGGTTCCTTTTTTCAGTTTAATAGGCTTCTCGAGTCGAAAAGCATTGCCTGAATTTCCCCATTGTGATCCTGAAAAATCAATAATCATCACGTAAGGGTTAATAAATGGCAGCATAAGGCCTTTTGACCTTCCAATGAACCAAAAAATAATATTTTCTAGACTGAAGTTAATTACCAATGTGCTTTCCGTTAAGGAAAGCATGAATCACATGCCCTTTTGTGTTCACTTGTAGAATTACTTTGTTGCCTTTGCCCCAGACAGGATCACTCCTGTCATGCTCGATCCTGTACACAAGTAACAGATAAAAACAAGTCATGTTTAAATAAATAAATAAATAATATATCAAATTTCCAGGACAGAAATAGAAAAATAAAAGCGCATCATCATCACCTGGTCAAAAGCCACAAGTAATCACTGGTACCATTTGTTACACGTTTTTGATCCACAAGCTGATTTGCAACCAAGGTGCTGCCTTTAAGCAAGCCTTTCTTGTCAAGATGAAGAGCATGCTCAGATCTCCACTCCCATTCCAAGCTATAAGGTTCGTCAAGATCATCAGCTTCATTTGACTTCTTAACCATTATAGAAGTTTGAGCATTAACCTACAAGATAAGTTTTTATTGATTAAAGATTGATAAAATTAAGTTAACCTAGCTAGCTACTGCCCAGTACAAAGTCAAAAGTTAGGCCATGCATGGATTTTTCAGTACCTTAGCAGTGTTGTAAACCTCTGTGTAGCAATCAGGGAGGATACTAACAGACCAAGCAGGAATAACATAATCACGGCCTTCGAATTTCAAGTGAAAATCATATGTTTTTGAAGTTGACATGAAGCAAGCTCTCTTCCCCTCATAGCTAAACACGGTCACCTACAAAATTTAAAGGAAATTTCATTTCATTTCATTCTTGCAATTCAGCTTATCAATCCTCGATATATAAAAAATGTTACCATAAAAAAAAAAAGAGTAAAAAACTAACATATTGTAGATCCCCATAATCATGCTCTTCTACATCCCCATATAAAAGAGTTTTCTCCAAAGACATAAGAACTTGATGTAGTTCTTTAAGATGACCCCATTTCGGTTGATTCAGATTACCTAAAAATTAACATGAATGTACAATGTATTAAGCAAATATATATATATATATATATATATATATATATATATATATATGTGCGTGTGTACAATTCAAAGGAAATGAAAAAAAAAAAAAAAATTTATTTTCTTACCGTACTCATCAAGTGGTGCATCGTAATCATAGGAGGTAGTGATGTACGGACCTCCTCCTGTCGTTCCGAAGTTAGTACCACCATGGTACTACAATCATGAAAAAGAAGGAAAAAAAAGCGTAAATTCTTTGTTTTCAACTATTTTTCTATCTTATAACACGAACTCTAAATCTGCATGCATGTTCTAACCATGTAATAATTCTGAAGGGTACCGCGACGTTGGTAAAAACGAGCAACAGCAAAAGCAAGATCCTCAGCTGCTCTATGAGGAGTTGCATGGCCCCAATCCTGGAACCTAATTTAGTTTTTTAACCCAAAAAAAAAAAAGGTTATATATATATATATATTGTATTAAAAACAGGCACAAAAATAAACAAACAGAGAAACAAGTAACCAACCAGCCACTCCAATTCTCAGTCCACATCTTTGGGCTATTTTTATTACTTGGCCAAAATCCATCACCATAAAAATTGTTGTATGTCTCAATCTGTGTACAAACATCAAAATAAAATTTTTAAATATATATATATATAATTGTTATAAAATGTAAAATGATACAGGATTAATTAATAATTACCAATGGAGATGGAGTATCCCTCTGCTTACACATAATCCAAGGGATCCCAATTTGGAAACTTTGGGCCAAATCAGCACACCATTTGACGTACTTTTTTCCTCCTTCCCCGTAAGCGTTCTCCACATCTCCATATTCATTTTCAATCTTTTATGTTCAAGGAAAATAAAATACAAGAAAAACATCATCAATTTTAAGAACACCAAGTACGATAAAACAAAGTAATTGATAGTTACATACCTGAGCAAGGATTATAGGTCCATCTTGCGAAGCGAAAAGGTTCTTATGCTTCATCATAGCCACTATTTTGCGAATAAAAATTTCCATCTCATTCTATATATTTTAAATTTAAATAAATCAATCAAATAACGAATTTATATATATAAGAAACCTTGAATAAAAAATTAATGAACTTTTATATATAGTTAAAAAATTAATAACCTGAAATACTGTGTTATTTGTTCTCATCTGGATGTTTGGCAAATTATGCAACCAAACCGGCAATCCTCTACGTTAACAAACAATTTATACAGAATTAAAAAAAAAAAAAAAAAAAAAAAAAAAAAAAACAAAATCAAATTATGAGATTGTTAATTAAATAAATAAAACTCAAATATACAGCACTTAAATTTTACGTACCCATAATTCCACTCCGCACAGGTATATGGTCCGATTCTAAGAATAGCATAAAGCCCTTCCCGTTGAATGGTTCTGATAAATCTAACAAGATCCAAATTTCCTGAAAAATCATACTAGCCAATAAAAGGAAAAAAAAAGTCAAATAAAAATTCCACTATATATAAAATGATCTTAAATTAAAAGGGAAAGTGCAAAAACCTGGCGTTGTTGAGGCTCATGAGCATTCCAAAAAACGTAAGTCTCAATGGCATTGAGACCCCCTTCTTTTGCTTTTCTGATAAGATGTGGCCACATCTACGTACAAACCCCGGCCAAAAATAAAAATAAAACCCTAAGTTATTTGACAGTGTATAAAAAATAAGAATAAAAAGTTCTAAGAAAACATGTATTTAAATCCTTACTTCAGGAGTGCTGCGAGGATAGTGGATGGAACCAGAGATGATTAATTTTCTTTCTCCATCTATAGTGATAGCTACATTATCATAAGTGACTTCATAAGCAAAAGCAAAATAAGGAGGAAGGAAAACAATGGCAAAGATTAAAAGAGAGCATAAAGAACTCATTTTGCTCATTGTCACAGAAAATGAAAACTTTTTAATCTCAATAAAATGAAATGAAGATGTATTTAAAGAAGTGTTGATGGAAATGGATAAGCTCGTATAGAATCTCAATCTAGATGAAATTAGTTTTTACGTTAACTTTGAAATGAAACTAGATAAGCTTTTTTTTAAAAAAAAAAAAAAAAAAAATTAGAAACTAAAAAAGATCTGCGCAGGATTAATTGTAACGCATATATATCCAATCCAATAAATTATTTCATAAAAAATTTGAATCGAAATACGATAAAAGTAGAACACGTGAAAGTTAAAAAAAAAAAAGTGATGATAACAAAAAGAAAAAAAAATGATGGCAAAAATAACTTTGTTTTTATTGGAATATATCTTGAATACTAAATACAAAAAAAAAAAATTAGAAAAAATATGATTTTTTTAATTTATAAATATTTTTAGCTGCCTAATGCTTATCTGACCAATTCTATCCATGTTTGAATTTGAATTTTTTTTTTTTTACTCAAACCTTTTCTTTTTATATATGACTTTTAATAAATTTTTCTTAATTGGTTACAAGGAAATATTCTGACTTGTTCTAATTAACATGTATTTTATGGAAAAATATTGTAGTTCCATAATTTAACTCTATAAAAAACAAATAAACACTGTAAGTCATCATCAGATTTTGGCTGAAACTTTTTTTTTTTTTTAACATCAGGTCAGACATGGATTTTGGACATCTGGAAAGGTCCATGACTGGAAGTTTTAAAATGTCATTTCTGTTCCTTGAAATGCTTGCAATGCAAGGGTAAAGTAACCAGAATAAATTACATCATTTCTTAATCCATGGTAGCTAGAGTGTTATTTTTCTTGAAAGGAATTAATCAGCATTATTAATTGTTATTAGGGTTAATGCCTTCAGCATCCCAGTATTTTTTATTTTATGTTCAAAACTTCTCTTGGTACTTTTTTTTATTATTAATATCATCGATCATTGTATGTTTTGTTGTTGTCGTTTTTTACATTTCATTAGGATTGGTGATTAACATTATTAGTATTATCATTAAATCTATCTGCAGGATTGTTACACATATCCAATCGAATAAAATATTTATTAAAAAAATTGAATCGAAATACGATAAAAATAGAACAAGTGAAAAAAAAAAGAATAAAAAAAGAAAAACATGATGATAAAAAAAAAATGAGGGTAAAAATAATTTTGTTTTTTGTTCGAATACAGTATGATTTGAATCGGAAATACAATAAAAATTAGAAAATTAAGAAACAAAAATATGATTTGTTTTTTATATTCATTTTTATCCAATCCAATAAATTCAAAACAACAATAACAACTCCTCCATTTTATAAACAATTAATCAAATTATGAATAATAATTGATAAAGTTAACATCGGATCAGTTGATCCAAAACATCAATAATTAACAATTATCGATTTTTAACATTTCGTGTTTCAATTTAGAAAAACAAAAAAATTGGGTTAACAATAAAAAAATAACTCACTTTAAGGAAATTAATCACTTATGAACAATAACTAGTCCAAAATCAACACCTAACTTAGTAAATCAAAAATTCAAAAAAACAAAAATTCAAATCCACATATCAACATGGTAAACATTGGAATTAAATCCACTTATCACAAAAAGTAATTCCAAGATCAACTATGATTAATTTCTCGAATGATTATGTTCAATTTTATCACCAATCTCACACCTAATCTTACTATATTATCCTTAAATATTTTTCTTATCGTGTTAAAATGTAAAATTTTGATACATTAAAGGACCAATTAATTCGAGCGGAATTGGTACTCTCAAACCAGATTTAAGCTAGAAACAAAAAGAAAGAGAGCCCAATATAAGTCGACCAAAAAAGTGAAAATATCAAAAGAAAAATCAAGGAGAAATTGAGAGAATTCTAGAGAGGGTCGAAAGAATTGAAGGATGAAACCAAAGAGAAACTTTATAATACTTAAGTAGTAACTAGTGATATATATAGTAATTACTCCATGGACCTACTTTGAGGAGAAAGATAGACACAAAAGAGAGAGAGAAAGAAACAGAGAGAGAAAAATTAAAAAAAATTGAGTGAATGTGGAAATCTTCTTATCATTTTTTTATGAATTCGGATGTAATTCTCTCTTTTTTTTTCTATCTCTCTTCTCAAAGTGAATCCATAGAGTAACTATTGTACATACCACTAGTTACTCGTTAAATATATATTATAAAATTTCTCAAAACCAAGTATCTCACACTAGGCAAAATCACAAGAAAATCCTTCTCTATAAATTTGATAAGAAGGGAAAGGAGAAGGGTGATGAAGAACTAAATGTTAAAGGAAGAACAAAAGAAAATTCAAATAGTATTAAGCCAACCCACCACCCAAAACCACTAAATTACCCATCAACATACCCTAAAATTAGTTTAGGAAAGCTTGGAAGCATCAAATATAGGAGGAAAAGAGAGGATTGGGGTCGAATCTTGAAGGAAGAAAAAGGAGGAGTTTCAAGTTTTCAAGGCAGAAATTTGTCAAGCATCAAGTGAGGTAAGTGTAGTCCTCACTACATCATAAGAAAATATTAAATTGATGCTTGATTATTAATGTTTTGAAGTTTTTAATTGGTCAATCAATTGTTCAATTGTTTGGGTTTTGTTGTAATTGATTGATCTTGGTGAATTGATGGTTGATTGATCATGTTTGATGGCTTAACTAAAGTTGGGTTGGTGAATTAAGTTGGGTATTGGATGAATAATGTCAATTGATATTTGATTATGATGGGTTATGTGTTGAATCAATGGATAAGGAATTGAATTAGCTTAAACATGATTGAGGAACCTTAAAATTACTGAATTGATGAAGTATTTGGCTCTTGATCTATTTAAGGCAAACTTGGATTTTTTGGAGGATGATTTGCCAAATCTAATTTTTTTAGTAAATTGGTATAATCTACATATGTTTAATGATAAGCAAGTTAGTTATGGTTTACTTACGTTGAATGATGAAATGCTTAGGTTAAAACAAGATTTAAGAGCTTAAAAATGGTTAAATTCATGAAGTTAATGGTTGTTCTTATGTTTGAGACAAATCTGAAATTTTTTAGCATGTTAAATAAATCTGAATTTTTGGATAAATTGGTTTAAATTACATGTATTTAATGATAACCATGTTAATGTTAGTGTATTTAAGTTGAATGATGACATGTTTAAATAAAAATTGATTAGTTACATGCTTGATTATGGCTATGACACGTTTAATGTCTATGGTTTGTTCTTGATAGTTTCGTTCAAGGCTAATTGTTTGTATCTATTGATGTATTTTGTCATATTGAATGATAATTGTGCCGGTTATTAATGACATGATCATTTGGTAATGAATGCATGTGAAAAATAAATAGGTTTCATGTTGAACTTGGACAAGGAATGGTTCATGGTTGAATTTGGCCTAAAAGCCATTTTGTGATTTTGAGGTTAAAATAAGATTTTGATTTTATGAAAAATTAAATATAATTTCATTCTCATGTAGAGGCGTGAGAATAAAAACAAAGAATAAAATGATTTTTTTTTTTTAAATAGTAATATATTATTTTTATTTATTGTGTATCAACTACTTCTACTATTATTATCGCCTCCTCTACTAACACCACCACGATTGGCAGTGGTGATAAAAAAAATTTCAAAAAAATTATTATCATTACTATTCCATCACCTCTTCTCCTCATCCACCTCCATCATAATTACCTTTATCATTTTTACTATTATCATAATTGATGAAATTATTTATTTTTTTAATAGTTATTCTTATTATTCTTAAAATCAACTATTGAAAATTTTAAATATCGTTCGATTCCTTATTATTTTCTCAAACATAGTTTTGGAATGAAAACATCATTTCGATTATTTTCATTCTTGATTCATGTATTTTCATTTCAAACCTTTCATTCTTGATAAACAAACAATACCTAAGAGATTTTCGATAGTATCAAAAGAAAAATTCATTTGAAATCTCAAGAAGAAAGAAATAAAAATAAATATAGATCAACTTTTGATTTCGATTAGATAACCATTCATTCGAATGCGAATTTTTGGGTGCTAACCATAGATTGAAATAACAATCGTTACATAGCGTAACGGTTGTTACGTAATGGTATCGAGACACCTCGTCATTGTTATTCAGCATTATGGATGTTTTGTTGTTGTTTCACAACTATAATAAAAAATTATAATGTTACCATTATATAATGTAGTTATTTGTCGTAATATAACGATGTCAAAAAAAAAACTTTCAGCCTTTCCAAGCTTGCAACTACATTGTGATTTGGTCTTTTTTTCATCCTTTTTATCTCTATCAGTATCAATCATGATTTTTGTAGAATTTCGGGGGTTACAAATATAAAATACAATAAAAAAGAAGAAGAAAACATGGCAAGAATCATTTTCGAAAAGAAGAAGAGACGAGGAGGGAGGTGACACAAAGAAATTCTAAGTTTGAGCAAGACAAATGAGCCTTTCATTTAAACATAAAAGACTAATATTTTAAGTCATCTAATACAATTGGGTCCATAATAAAAAACCAACTAATACAATTCTTATTAGGCCTACTCTTTTAAGTGATAATTGGGTTTGGTTTTAGAATTATATTTGTACCTTTTTCACTTTGTATAATTTAAAATTATTATTATTATTACTCTGTCATCTCTTCTCCTCCTCCACCTCCACCGTAATCACTTTTATTATTTTTATTATAATCATAGTTGATGAAATTATTTATTTTTTTAATAATTATTCTTATTTTTCTTAAAATCAACTATTACAAATTTTAAATATCATTCTAATTCCCGATTATTTTCTCAAACATAGTTTTGGAATGAAAATATCATTTCAATTATTTTCATTCCAAACGTTTCATTCTTGATAAATGACACCTAAGAGGTTTTCAATAGTATCAAAAGAAAAATTCATTTGAAATCTCAAGAAGCAAGAAATAAAAATAAATATAGATCAACTTTTGATTTCGATTAGATAACCATTTTTTTGAATGCGAGTTTTGGGGTGCTAACCGTAGATTGAAATAACGATCGTTACATAGCATAACAGCTTGTTATGTAACAATATCGAGGCACCTCGTTATCATTATTCAGTATTATGCGTGTTTTGTTACCGTTTCACGACTACAACAACAAATTATAATGTTACTCGTTATATAATCCAGCTTATTTATCGTTATATAACGGTGTCACATTAAAAAATAAATAAATAAAAACCTTTCAACCTTTTTAGGCTTGCAACTAGGGGTGATCATTCAGGTTAAGCTTAATTTGATTCGATTTTCGGTTAATCGAATTTGGAAAAGTGAAAACCAAAACCGAACCAAAATTAATTCGGTTAATTTGGTTAATTTTGGTTTGTAATTGAATTATTCCGGTTCGGTAATAAAATAATTCGATTTTAACCGAACTTTTGTTGTTGTCAAAAAAAAGAAAAAAGATAGAACCAAAATAAATAAGAGATGCATGTGAAGCTAGAAAGTAGGTGTCGATATTAAAAAGAAGCTCGAGAAATCACTTTCATAGTTTATTTTAATTGGCATGATCTTCAACATGATTACATATTCATTACTTCCGATGACAAATCATACGAGTTTACTTCCAATACTCAAAACAATTAAATAAGCTCGACTTGCTTCATACTTAAAAGAGGATTACATGGATATTCAATGCTCAAATTGTGTTATTTTCTTATGTCGTGCAACAATATGCAACAAATTACAAGAGAATCAAATGGGTATTGAAGTCCGCAATTCAAAAGCAGTATCATATTCATACTCGCTAGCTCTCCAACCTCTCCTAGTCTCCCGCATTTCAGTTTCTGGACATAGAAACCCAAATGACCAAAGGTTCTATTACTAGTCCACAATCCAACTTTTTGTTTATCTACATGGTAGAAGCAGCGATTACTGTTAGGATATGAATATAGTATTATATCTTTAACAAGTTATTCAATTTGCGAGCCACCTAATGGTGATCCTATGAGACCTATAAAGACTATACAGGAACCAACTCAATTAGGTAGGATGATAATGCTAAAAAGTGAAAACGAGCTTAGAAGTTATTACCAACATCCGAAACATGAAGGTTTAACGGTTCCTTCATATGTTAATATTCTATACAATTATTCCAAGTATGAGGAGTCTAATCTAGTAATCCCTACTCTTTCATGTGCAGTGGTGGGATCAAGCACAACAAAGACAAGTGCATTGAAATAGACGCCGACCATCGAAATAGGCCCAGTCTTACTCCTATTTTATTGTATAAAACATTGAAAGAATGAAATTTCTTTAAAACTCGATTGTGGTATTACTCAACTCAATTAATTACTCCCTTATGGTTTAATACTAGCAAGTTTCCCTCTATATGGTATAATACCATTGTATGCTAAAATGAATGTCTAAACACAATGGATGCACATGGAGTATTCAAAGTAGAAAATAAATCGCAATGATTTTAATGCATATTTAAGAGAGAGATTGACACCTAAGTATACTATGTTTGCTCACAAGCACCCGAGCTAGAGCCAATTGGAACCGAGGAAGGCACACACTTTGCACATTCTAAAGAAGATAGATCTCAATGAGTTATAATACGACCGTAAAGGGGAGAGTGAGACCGACCCAAGACATAGTAACATATTGCAACTTGCCAAAATTTCAAAAATTTAAAAACTTGCTACTTCTCGATTGTAAATAAGGCACATGCAACTATCTTACAACGGATCCTTAAGAACACCTATATAGAATGGAAGACAATAATGAGTTCTTCCCATGCGGCTATGCCCATATAACGGACTAACGATTAACAAAGAATTAATTGTGAGTAAAGAAGCAACGATCCGAGAAGACATAAATCTTAAAACACCACGAGTGCAAAACAAACCGACAAAGCATATCCCCGACATCTCACTAAGGAATCCAAAAAACAACTTAATAAATAATGATAATCTATGCCCAATAAATTTTTGTTATCGGTAAAAAAAAGAAAAGAAAAGAAATAAAAGAGACTAACCTTGAAAGACACGAAGATCGGTTGTGCAAACGCCAAACGGTGGGTGCTAAATTTCGAATTTAAAGGAGAATTGATGAATTAGAGCCCGGAGGACTCGGATCGGATCGTGGAGTGGAGAGTGGAGAAGAAGAGTGAGACTATGAGCCTATAAGTGTGAGAGTGAGAGTGAGACGAAGATGATGAAAGTCGAAAGAAAGAGTTTGCTTAGGGACTTAGGGTGAGACTTGAGAGTGAGACGAAGAGTCGAAGACTCGCTAAATGAAAGCTGAAAAAGAGACTCGAAGTGAAGACTAAAAGTGAAACGATAACGTTAGCCAACTAAGGGTTAAGGATTTAAAAATTAGAATTAGGAATTGCGATTTTCGAGCTCAAATCATTTAAAAAAAAAAAAAACGAACCGAACCGAAATAAATTTGGTTTTTTCAATTCGATTATAAACCGTACATTTTTAAATTTATAACCGAACCAAATTCTATAATTCAGTTCGGTTTTATTCGATTTTCGATTAACCGAATCATTTTCTCACCTTTACTTGCAACTACATCATGATTTGGTCCTTTGTTCAACTTTTTTATCTCTATTAGTATCAACCACACCTTTTGTAGAATTTCAGGTACTACAAATATAAAATGCAATCATAAAGAAGAAGAGAGCAAGGCAAGAATCATTTTTAGAAAAGAAGAAGGGCCAAGAAGGGAGGCATAAAGAAATTCTAAGTTTAAGCAAGACGAACAAGCCTTTCTTTTAAACCTAAAAGACTAATATTTTGGGCCATCTTATATAATTGGTCCATAATAAAAAACAAACTAATGCAATTTTTCAGGCCTACTCTTTTAAGTGATAATTTGGGTCTAGTTTTAGAATCATATTTTTACTTCTTTTTTTACTTTGTATAATTTAAAATTTAATAATGTTTTTACTTTTTTTTATTGCACAAAAAAAATTATAAGTCGATTTTCCTCCACTCTAACAACCAATAAATAAATTATAATTTTTGAACAATAATTTAAAAGTGAGGTTAAGTAAAATTTTAATTTTTAATAGTGCAATTATTATTGAACTATAACAATGTATATATATAAATAAATAAAGCTATTATTATGTTTATATAATAAAAATATCAAATTCACATTTATTATGAAAATTTGTCACAATTGTTAAATGATTCACAATAACAATAGATGCGAACGTTATATTTTATCTATTAAAATCTGTATTTGTTATCGTAATTTACGATCGGTACTGCAACTATAATTATTATTTAAAACTATGTTGCTAACACCATCCCTAAACACAAGCAACTCCCAAAACTTAAATCTATTTATGTAGATTAAAATTTTTTGATTTCAATAAATCTTAGATATTTTTTAAAATTAATGTAAATCAATTCAGTAACCTATCACATCTAGAAATTAAAAGATTGGTGGCCACTCCCCTTCTGTTTTCGAACCATTGCTCGCCTCGACAGTAACCCATCTCTTTCGGGAAGGCTATCACAAGGGTCCATTTTAATGGTCCGTCCAGCACACCGAGCTTAATAGGTTCCACTTTCCAGTTGGCATATATTCTTAGGGATCTTTTTTTTTTTTTTTTTTTAGCCCTTCAAAATTTTAAATCAAAATATGTGTTTGATGCTTTTTCTCACTTCTAAACTAGAAATGACTGGTTGATTCCCATACCATTTACCGTACCAAGTACCAACTAATGCAGCAGTTGGGGCGGGGGAAGGCTCTTATACCTATGTAACAGAAGCTAAGAAATGCATAGGATCTCGCTGGTATGGCAATTTGCCCCGCCCCCGCTTGCCCTATTTGAGACGGGGATAATACTCAAAATTTCACCCCGAACGTGACATGGGGCAGGATGGAGTGAAATTTTTTGGGACGAAACAGGGATGAGGATGGCTATCCCTGCTCGTCATTTTATCTTTAGAAATGGTAATTTGACGAGGCTTCATCACGCCCGCCCCATTTGAAAAGAGGATGATATTCAAAATTTCATCCCGAACATGACACAAGACGAGGACACAAGACAGGGATGGGGCGATATTTGTTGGGACGGGGCGGACCCTATTACCATGTGACAGAAGCAAAGCAATGCAGTATATTTATTGATACATGTAATGTGTCTACCATTACAAGCGTTGTGTACGCTACATGATTACTTTACATGTTGATAATATATGTCATACAAGAACGTATTACTTAAGTGTGTTCTATGAGAAAATAAATAAGGATAAATCTCAAAACCTTTTTTATGTACATGCAACAAGATTGACTAAAAAAGAAGGCAGTATATGACCCCATTACTGTTGATTTATAGTATACCAGGAAAAATCAAGGTTCTTAGGCAGATGCTTATTAGATCTTCCCATCTCCTGCACCCTGGGGCTCAGCAGTTATTCTTTCTTACATGCATGACCCACAAAGATTATGGGCAGCCATGAGGAGGAGGAAACCTGAACAAGCACCCAAAATAAAGTCAGTAAGCCTGAAGGCAGCACGTTCACACAAGGGGAAAAAAAAAACGGCAGGCAGCATAATGTGCATGGAGTATGTGCATCTAGTAAGTTAAAACGAACATGACCTAATTACAGAGACAACATTAACCTCCTACCCCGAAGTGCCATTTAAAAAAAAATGACTCAACTGTCAAGTTACCCCATTAACTTCTGCCGTCCATACGACATCGCAGTAAGGAATTTTAAGTTCATGACCAATTAAAAAAGTTCCCATTCGATCCCATGTGAAATCCGAATTCCTACAGTGAGGGGTTCAGGTGACTCAGCGAAAAGAGTTGCAAAGCAGTGATGTAATCCCACCTAATCAAGTTGTTCGCATGTTGACCATCTCCAGGAACAATCTAAACATTATGTACTGTGTTCATCTGTATTGCACGTTTCAGAAGCTGTTGGTAGTCTGGACTTCTCGACCATTCATCAATTTCACGAGCTCGTAGAACAGGCAGAGGGTGTGAAAGTTGTCTTGTTTGAGCATTTCTGCAGCAGTAGGAATCAGACAACTGCAAGGAAACTGATAGGCATAATTTTCAGTACTCAGTTCATATATAATACTGCTCACCTTATGTACCATCCGACTGGACTTGAAGAAGCTCTATCATAAGAGCGTGCTTGTTCCAAGAATGCATCCACGTTTAGCTGATCAGCAATTGATGGGCTTCCTCCAGCTAATTTCATCAAAACAGAGATAACCACCTCTTGTAGGAAAATAAGAAAAAAAATAAGATAAACAAATCTATACCAAATATATCACAGATATCAAATTTTGAAGTTGAAAGGTTTCAGTTTATATACCTTAGGATCTTGGGCAACAAGAAGGGCTGCACGATCACACGTTAGCTCTGCTGCTCGGAGCCAACGGAATAATTGTTCTTCTAAACTCTGAGCTATCAACCTGCCAAGTCCTGTGAACAAAATAGTTGGTTCAGAACTCCATGAAGCATTTTGTTAGGAAATACAAAATCTGAGAACTATCATGCATAAAATAAATTGAGTGCTTAGACATGCGGCCAAACACAAGATTTACACATATAAATCGAAGGTTCCCAGATAAAGTTGCTGCTTTCAGAGAGTGAAATTAATAAGGAAACTGATATAAGGGGATAAGCTGTTATTACCATATACAATAATTTTGAATAATAATTTTAGATAAGGGGCTATAACACAAGAATCTTTTAACTTCCAGTATAAAGAACTCCCCAAATACATAAAAGAAAAGTTTCAGTCAAAACCCAGTATTTGCACTTTCATGCATATAGCAAAAGTTAGGTGAAGCCATCGCAAAGACCAACACCATACTCCATTGAAATGATCTCAACTTGCTCAAATAACTCATGAATTATATGGCATTCTTTAAAAAGTCGATAGACAGCATAAGAATTTGTTGTCCTACTTCAACTCTTGTAATTCAGAATCAGTTAACCTCAATTGCTGTAAGATCTGTTTTTGAAATACTGGTGAAGTTTTGAGTTCAGAGTCTGTGCAGTTTTTTCTCAGTATCCATGAAATGATTCTAAGCAAAGAGGATTTAGATTGAAATTATAGATGTTACCTCAACAAATATCACAGAAAGAAAACACCTACCAGGAACAGTATAGGCTCCAAGTGTAAGAATGTTTGCAAACGTGAGCCATACTCCGTGATCGCATTTCAGATGACCCAACTCGTGAGCCAAAACAGCCTACTTTAAGTTAGATAGTCTAAAGTTAATAAAATTTCATCTTTTGAAAGATATTACTATTATACAAGAGAACATTTCTACATCTATGCATAAAGATGTAAACGAAAAGAAAGAGGTTATAAGATAAATGACAGGAAAAAAGAGAGAGAGGCTAAAACTAAATGCACAAATTATGCCATCATGAACACATGTGAATCCTGCAGAGTCAATCAAGCAAAACATTCGTTCACAATGACGGACTCAAAATAATTCATAAATGAGAATCGCAAATACGCTTGTGAAGGTAAATGCAGAAATCTAGACCTGCAACTCTTTTCGTGTCAGAAGCTCCACGAGGCCGGTATGCACAACAACAAATGGCTTTTTCCCACTTATGGCTAAAGTATATGCATTTGGTACAGCACTTTGCCGAACATATAGATCAGGGGGCTCAATATTCAGTATTTCCGCAGCCTCAGTCATCAATTGATGAAGTCCAGAAAGCTGATTTAAAGATAGTACAGTTGTATGAAAAAAATTGTTGAACATAATCTCCAAACATGTTGAACTTAAATAGTCAAACAAATTGCAGAAGGGCATAAAAGCTTGATAGACAAACATATCAGAAGAATAAAAATGCCTTATTGACAACCTGCAATTAAGCATGTTTTGGTAAGTATGATGAGATCAAAAGTACCCAGGTGAAAGGAAAATTAACATAGGTAAGACTATAAAATGCTTAAGATATCCAACTTCGAGAAAAATTAACACAGACATGCTACATATAGAGAGTCTATCTCAAATGGTAATATTTTATGTCCATCAAGCAATGACAAGACGTTGTGTACCATGTTTGGTAGGGGGCATCCAGTTACCTGATTTTTAGAAACAAGAACAGAAGTCCCAATATTCTCAAGAAGCATGACTTGCTCTGTCACAGATCCTGCAATTATGCATTCCAATAACCTACTTAAAATATAACTAAAAGAAAACATTAGCCAAATCTTTCCACCCACAAGAAAACATGGTTTTATTTAAAGAACAGAAAAAAATGGCTATGTTTAAATCATGGAATGAATGAAAAATAACCTGTGCACAGCATACAACACAAGCCTCTTTATTCCTGATGTGCCATTTCATGAATAATTCAGAGAAGGAGAGCTAGTATTTATCACAACTTTCCACAATACGAAATCAAATACAAGTGCCAAATTTACAGAAATGCGAGTAGTAAAGGCAATATCAAAGTCAAACGAACACTTAATAATAAATTAAAGGAACACAAAACAAAAGCACAAGTCAATAAATACAGTACCCATACAAAATCCAATTTTATAGTACCTAATAGAGCCTTCCCCAGTTCATTTAATCCTGGAATTGCCCTCAATATGAGTGTATTCTGGGGCCAAAAAAAAAAGTCACCCATTAGTCAAATGCAAAGAGAAAAAGAAAAGGGGGAATTTCCAATAGAAATAACTTAAAAGAACCTGTTTATCAAGAGGATGTCTGAAATCATCAGCATCAAGATTACGAAAAAAAGAGAAGAAGCTCTACAAACAGAGACACTAACTCTTCGATTCTTCTCTACCAAACCAAACCCAACAGAACCTGAACGAAACCTCAAATCACTTGAAATTCCGTAGTTAAAACTGAAACCAAGAGAAGCAGCAGCAGCAGCAGCAGCATCTGGTCTCCTTCTTTGAGCCAGACAGAGAGACGAAAGAGGCACAGAAGCCATTGAAAGAGAAGGAGAGAAACAAGGGGTTTCTTCTCTTTGTTTTGAGTGGGAGCTGTAATTTCTGTTGTTAATTACAAAGAAGATATTTGTGTTGTTTGATGCGTATGTAATTTTACGTCCACAGCCGTTTTTATGGTTATCGATGGCGCCATTTCGCTTTCTGTTGACTTTCTTGTGCATGGAAGTTGAGATGACATGAGGCTACTGATGTGCGGTGGGGATTGAATGATGACGAGGAAGCGATTATGCTATTGGTTGTATGCAATATTCTTAGTCTTATTTTATGCTTGATGCTCTTGTTGGTATTGAAAATTCAATTTTAAATGTAATGATTTAGAGCAAGAGGTGATTACTTCAATGGTTAGTTTAGTTTTGGATGAAAAAAAACAAAAAGAAAAAGAAAAATGCAATTAGTTGTCCACATCTAAAGGTTTTGTTTGGTATAGGGTTAATAGGAGTTAAAATCTAAGCTTGTTTGGATTTACTTTTTGGGAAGACCTACTATTCCAAATAAATAAATAATAAAAAACAATTAGACATAGAAAATGTTTTGTCCTTAGAATTGATTCAATGCTTAGCACGATATCACGACCACTTAGTTTAGAAAATAGTAAACTTAATCCGAATTGATAGAAAAACTAGTTCAATAATAATCTACTAACTATAATATAAAAAAGAAAAAAAAATCTCAGAGCATACTTAGTCCTTTTTAATACCAAACCCATACCTAGTAAAGAATATTTTTCATTCTAATCCAAGTAATTTTAGAAAAAGTTATTTAGTCTTTAATAGTTATTATTTTTTTTTTTTGTCTCAAAGAGATTGTCTTCTCTTCTATTTATATCTAACTTAAAATGCTTGTCCGTCAAAATTTCAAATAATATATTTTCCTAAAATACTTCTAATTGATAAATAAAAAAATCAATTATTTCTTCCATTTCTTGTTCTTTAATAACAAAAAATCAATATCTTTATACTTTCTTCTTATACATACAAATACCACTAACATAAAATTTTCGAAGGAAAAATTTTTGTTATGTGAAAACATTTATTCTTTCTAAAATCTTGTAGGAACTTTATACTCGCATGACAAAAATTTAGGAGTAAAATATTTATATCGGTATGTTACCTTTTCTTAATTTTTAATTTAATCATTAATTAACTTAATATTTTTTAATTTACCATCTTAATTTTGGATATATTTTTTTAAAATTAATATTAATTCCATATACTATAGGATTAAATTTTATAAAAAAAAAATTTAGAAAAATAAGTATCTTAAGAAAGCATGAATAAAAAATGCCCATTTAGTAAAATAATTAATAAATTTCTTAAACTCGTGTAAAAAAAAATTAAAGTGAAGGATCTCTTTGAGATAGAGGAATTATAAAGAAGTCCTTGATGGAAATTATTTTGGTCTTTGTATTTTTTTGGAAAAAAAAAACATTTTTATTCTTAACTTAATTTTTTTCAATTATGTCTCCACATGTTAATTTTTTTTTTCCATATTATTAGGATGATGTTAACTAGGAATTCAAGGGATCAATTGAGTTCCAACTTTTAGATGTTTGGTTACTAAGAATAAAAATTTTGAAATAAGAATGTAAGAATCGGAATGAAATTTAAAAAATTAAAATAGAATTTTCGTTATAATACTAGGTTTGGAATAGTAATAAGGTATTAGAATAAAATTTTTAGTTTTTAGTTTTTGATTTTTAATATGAATAAGAATGATGATTAAAAAAATAATTTTATCAACTATTATAATAATAAAAATAATAAAGGTGATTGCCACAACAATGGTGATGGTGGTGGAGGAAGGGGAGGAGGAGGTGACAATGTTAGTAATAATGGACTAGTAGCATGGTAATAACAATAATATATTTTAAAAAATTGATACCGAGATCATAGTAGGTGGCAACCGAAAGAGAATAGCGATGATGGTTGTGGTATGATAAAAATAATGATAAAAGAGTAGTGAAAAAATCATAGTAATATAATAAAATAAAATAAACTTAAGTTTTTTAATCACCACTACTAATGGGGTGGTAATGGTGGTGTCAATAATGAAGACGGTGGTGATGGTAAAAATAATTTATACACAATAGATAAAATATATATATCATTATTTTAAAGAAAAAGAATCTTGGTCTCATTTTTTTTTTTTTATTATTGCCACTTCTCTCTCCATGACAATGAAAATATGTTTGGTAACAAGAAATAATTTTACCAAATAAAATGATGAAATAATTTGAAAATATTTCTTTTGAAGAATATATTAGTTTGGAAGAAATAATTTGATATTATGATCTTTTTAACAAAATGATTATGAGTTCAAACCTTATCACCCATTCTTTTTTCTAATTAAAAAAAGTCTTGAATGTCACTTTAGCATTTTCTTTTAGCTAAGACAAAACGTGTTAATACCCAATTTTTGTCCTTATTATTTTTAATTCTATTTTTATTTTTATTGCAAAAATACCCAAAAAAAATGAAAATGGAAATGAAAAAAAATGAAAATGAAATGAATACCAAAAAAATTAAAAATGAAAAATGGTAAACAAAACAAAATGCCAAGTTAAAAAAAAAAAGAAGAAGAAGAAGAAGAAGAAGAAGAAGAAGAAGGAAAAAATCAATTGGAATGTTTCGCTTAGGTTAATTCTTAAAAAAAAAGGTTGATTGAAAAAATGGAAAGTTGGAAAATAATAAAAAGAACAATTGAGGGTCCAATTAAAAAAATAAAAAATTATGTACTTTAACTAAAATAAAGAGGGGGTACAATTGGAAGAAATCAGAAAGAAAAGTTCTAATTAATTAAGATTTAAGGGCCTCATCGAAATAAAAATTGATATCAAACTTAAATTGATGCATCATGGAGACCAGGGACCGAACTAAATTTTTGTCAAAAAATAAAAATTACTTATAAATTGATTCACTATTCATCACCACCCTAAAAACATCCAGTCGACTCCCTCTCCTCTGCACCAAGCTCTCAACCAAAACTCCCCCTCACCATAGCCAACCACCCTTACACAGCCCCCACTCGCCAATAGCCAGCCCCACAACAGCTCTCTCGCCCCCCATAGCCGGCCACCTTCTCGCAAGCCTTCAGCAACCCCTCTCGCCAGAACCCCCTCTCGCAAGCCTTCATCGCCCATAGCCTCGCAGCACGCCAGCCAGTCATGCAATCACACAACCATGCAATAGCCCCTCATAGCAGCGCCCCTTGCCATAACCCCTCCTCACAAGCACCCCACAATCCTCTCGTACGCCTCCAATAGTTCACCTCGTGCCAGCCTTCGCCAAAAATAGTATGTCTAAGTGGATGAGGCAATCGGTGAATAAGCACTACTAAATGAAGGTTTGATCTTCATTGTGAAAGTGTATTTCTGGCATTATGTGACCAGCATCAAATCATTACAAAAGTTGGAATAAACAAGGGTCTTAATAAACAATCATTTTATGTCTAACAAATCAACATTAAATAAATTTAAAGTTTTTATAATTTCAGAATTTTTTGGATTACAAATTAATAATTAATTAAACCTTAAAATCTTTTTTTGTGCGTTTTGCTTCAAACAATCAATTAAACGATAAACAAGTTGCTTCGAAGCAAAAATTAAATATTTAAAAAATTAGAGTTGTTTGAGAATTTTAATTGCATATTAAAAATTCTTCAAAACACTAAATTTCTTAATGGATTTTGCTTGAGATTTGATAATTGTTATGTTAACTCTAAGGTTTTGTGGATTAAACACATTTGGTTTCAAAAAATTATAAGTTTAGGTTACAATTCGCATACCTAGATCTGGATCGACCTTTAAATCGTCATCCAGTCATCTTCAAATCGATCAAATATTATCACGAGCAATGGTAAATCAACAAAAACAAAAACACTACGATTACAAGCTGATTTACGGGTTTTAGATCAATGTTCTATAGGTTTCTCTCTCTTTGAAGAGAGAGAGACAAATAAGAGATAGAAAAATATCTTGAGGGAAAATTGGTTATTTCTAGTGAGCTGGCATGTGAGGTCTAATTATATATAGAAGGGCATTGTTGTCAGTTTTTTATTCATCAAATTGAAAATAAACCGATAAAAAAATAGGATGTAAAGTGTAATATTTAAAAAATAAGGGTGCGAGTGTTCTTGTTATCTAAATATAGGATGTTTTTGGTAATTTACCCTTACTGTAAAAAAGTAAAATCGATCTAACCCTTTTCGAGCTAATAAAAAAAAAAGAAAACTATATAGGATCAACGCTTCAAACTAGAGACCCAAATAATTAAGAAGTAACAGAATAAGAGAGAAGAATAAAGTGAGATCAATATGTTGATCATAAGTAGGGTTCTTTTTTCCCCCTTTTTACCATATCTCTTTATTTTATTTTTTAAAATCAGTCTTTTTATGTTTGGATTTTATCTTATTTTTGTTTCTTTTTTAACTTTTTGAGCTAACATTGTTAAATTGCACCGTTAGCCCTATAAAATTGCACCATGTGTCAATTTTTTTCATCTTTTTGCCCCTTTATTTTTTTAGTAAAAATAAAAAAAAATAAGTTACAAATATTTTTTAATCTAAAATATTATTTATGGTTTTAAATATATTTCTATGATACTAAGAAAATTTTGAGTATAAATAAAATATTTATGCTATTTTTAAAAAAATACCAAAAGAGTTTTAGTTAAATTTTTGAATAGTATTTATAATTTTATAATACCATTCAAAAATTTTTGTTAAGGTATAATTTATTCTATTATAATTTACTTATTTTTATTTTATAAATTTCTTAATTTGACTCAAAAGTAAGAATATAATTTTTGTTAAGATTTTTGGGGGATATTCACTCAAAAGTGGTTAAAAAAAAACTATAAATACCATTCAAAAATTTAGAAATTTACCAAAAACTCTCTTGACATTTAAAATAATACTATAAGTATTTTATTTTATACTCAAAATTTGCTTACTACAATAAAGATAAATTTAAACTCATAAAAGATATTCTGGATTAAAAAAAAAATTCTTCATCTTTTTTTTTAGATATTTTTTTTACTTTTACTAAAAATAAAAAATAGAAGCACGAGATTAAGATGAAAGAAAAAAGAGTTGACACACAAGTTAGTAAGACTCACGGTATCATTTAATACTGTTAGTTCAAAAAGTTAACGAATGTACGAATTTAAGACAAAAATAAAAAATAAAGAGACGAATTTAAGACAAAAACAAAAAAGAAACACAATAAAAAGGAGAAAAAAAAAAAGACCTTGCAACTATTAACCCATTTGTTTTTCCACCAACAATGGTTGTAATTATTGTTTTTCTATACTTTGTTCATTCAAACTAAATTAAAAGATTTAGTTCTATTAAATATTATTAAGAGAAAATGACATGGGCAAGTAAAAGTACCCTATTTTAGTATCAAAATAAATTTAAATCACACTTTTTTAGGGAAAAAAAGAACTCTCCATCCTTGTCATGTAGCGTCCTATGTATATCTAAGAATTCTTAAATATATAATCTTCTTGTTTTATAATTTTTCCTCTCCTCTCACTTAGGAGTTGTTCTATCTTTTCATAATCTTTGTAGGATTTTTTCCTATCTTTATCTATTTTTTTATTCAAATGTATCATTTGAAACTTTTTTTACTTGCTCCTACGATCATCTCTGGGGATAAGATTACAAAGTTTGTGATTAATATTAGTTTTTTTTTTTATTGTATTGTTTCTGTTTGTTTAGTAATCTCAAATTTATATTAGAATAGTTTGTCATCAAAATATAAATTTAGAAGTGATTAAATTATGCATATTTAATTGGTTGGCCGGATGACGACAGTAGTTGTTGTGACGAAGGAACCACATGTTACTGGACTTGGAGTCAATAGAGGAACGTATTTGATAAACGTAAGAGTATAAGGATCACATTGAAAACCTTTTAAAAGTAAAGAGATGAAATAGGAGAACAATATATAATAACGACGTCGGATTAGTACTCCCCGATTGCATACATAAACCTGAATCATTTTTTATTTTCTCATCTCAAAGACACAACTCGCGAATTTGTTTCTGGGTTTGCTTTCAGATTGTCCGATTTTATCATTAGCTCTTAATCAATGTTAGTTACTTCTTTAATCAATTCCCTTTTGGTCTTTAATCTAAGCTAAAATTGCTCTAAATTACTACTTAAACTGAAATAAAGAATTTAACTAAAAATTTAAGTTTTTGTTGTTAAAGGAGGAACTCAGTGAATCGGCCACCAACACCAGATGATGCAGCGGAGGAGGAGGAGGATCAAGAAAAACAACCGAACCTTCAAGAAATAATTAACATTAAGGTTCTTTTTTATATTTCATTAGTTGGGTTTTGTTTTCTTTTTATTATTTTTTAACGATGATAGGGTGGGTTTAATTTGTTGATTAATTTAGTTAATTGAGAGTGGAGAGAAGGAAAGGTTGATGGAGCTTTTAAGAGAAAGGCTTATTGAGTGTGGATGGAAAGATGACATGAAAGCTCTTTGCAGGTTTTTCACTGCTCTCTCTTCTTTTAATTTCGTTGCTATTTTTGAGTTGTAATTATCAGTCCCTTTTTTTTTTTTTTTATCTTTTTGGTTTATAATATTTCATGTGAAGAACTTTTTGCAGTCTTTGTAAGGTTTATTTTTTATTGCTGTCTTTTTGTGTTTTAAGAATTGCGTAGGGATTTTTTATTTCTGTGGGAAAGAACAATAAAAGCTTTTGAAAAATTAGGAGAAATATAATGAAGACAAATGCAACTGCACGATTTTTTTATTCTAAAAAAACCTTTGAGGGATGGATAGGCTGTATATTCTTCTGTGAGATCATCAGATTTGAAAGGAAATGATGCTGTAAATCAGTGGGATTTTGGTGAAATCATGCGCTTAGGCTAGGTTACTGTTTTCACTAAAGGGCATTTTCAGTAACTCGAGATATCAGGGCTGTAACTACTCATGTTAAATCCACGGGCAGAACTCAATCCTTCTTGTTAGGACTCGTAAATAAAGCATGTGATTCTGTTCATATTTGACATGGCAAGCATGGGGATTGACTCCAAATATTCGGAGGAGTGACTTTTGGCAAATCCACGGCTAGAACTAAACCCTTCTTGTTAGGACTAGTAAATAAAGCATGTGATTGTGTTCATATTTGACATGGGAAGCATGGGGATTGACTCCAAGTATTGGGAGGAGGGACTTTTGACGAATTAGTTATCAGCTAGCGAATATAGCAATCGCAAAGAGTCACTTTTGGCGATTTTTCCTTTTTACTGGAAAAAACTGAGATGAGTTTCACAATTTTTAATCAATTTGATTGCCAGTTTGTTTGAGGAGGATCCTATTCTCCAAACTGTGGTATTCTTGGATTTATGAAGATGTACCATTGATGCCATTCTATCCAGTTAGTAATATTTCCTTGAATTTTATGGGTCAAATCCTGTTGCTTTAGGAGGGCTTCTAAATGGAAGAATCATAAGATGACATAGGAGATCATGTTTTATGATGGAGTGGTTGCAGAGTGGGTGTTAGAGGTTCTCCCATCTGCTTCTAAGTTTCTAGGGTTTGTTCTAATTGTCTGAGGCTTTACTGATATGAAAGTTGGAACTGGATGAGTAAAAAGGCGCCAGCCACATCTGATGTTTCTAGAGTGTTAGAATTTGTGTTCCTGATCTATGGAAACTTCCTTGAGGAAATGCGTTGGATAGCAACGCAGATAGTTTTGGTTGATTGAGTCGAGCTCTCTTTAAGGAAATTTGTGCTTACATTGCTTGCCTACTGTGATGAATTTTGGAAGTGCATGCCAAGAGAAGGATTATAAAGGAAATGCTTTCGTAGTATCTTTAGTTATAGGAAGTTGTATTGGAATCTTTACCTTTTTAGGCCTGTTTAAACATTTTTGCAGCTCCTTTTTTTTTTTCAGACCCATATTCTTACCGTATTTATGGACAGTTTGGCTTGTTTTTCTTCCGAAATCGTTTGGAATCATTCTCAATTCTCAAATCTCTCTTGATGCCATTGTGTTGTAGGGCATTTATAAAGAAGAAAGGAAGGAACAATGTTACTGTGGATGAACTTGTACATGTAATTACACCTAAGGGAAGAGGTGGGGATCTTCTATTTCTGAAGTTTATCTTCTGTTGTCTACACAGGATAATTTACTGGTTTATCTGTCAGTAACTGGAATTCAGATGTAAATTTTGGCAACTGCTTAGAATTTGAAAAGGAATTTGATTGCCTTGACTTGATTTTCAAGTCTGCCTGTTCATTATGGTTCAATACAACTATTCAGTGCTGATGAATTTGTTTTTCCCAAGTTGAGTTGGGAATTTCACAGTTTTAATTCATCTTTCTTTTTTGCCTTTTGTTTTCTATTATTTCTTTATCGAGTCTGAAAATTTTGTGCCTTTACACCTGCAGCTTCCATTCCTGATTCTGTAAAAGCCGAGCTGTTGCAAAGAATCCGTTCTTTTCTCGTCCAAGCCGCTGTTTGATACGCAAGCCCACTTTCTTAAATTGTGTAGTAGTAGGAAAGCCGAAGCTGTCGATGAATGGAATGGAAGCTTTGTTTACCATTGTAACGTTGAGGTCTCTTGTAGAGTGGAGGCAGCTGTGATTTGCTTTAAACAATTGTGTGTTGCAAAACGAAGGGAATGGGATATCAGTGTGCTTCAAGCTTGAAAGAAGGTCCATCATCTTATAGCTTTTAACTATTGGATCCGAAGATTACTTTGGCACTTGTGATGTTCGACAATATAAATATTTACACGTGCCAGCTGTTCTTTCTTTGTTTTTTTTTCTTGTACCATACTCTGCTGCCATTTTCAAAATGAAACTATTTGGTTAGGAAGACTTGGAATTTCACATTTTGAGTTGGATGGTGGGAATCTTTTCTTGAATCATGTCCGAATTTGCCTTTGGTATAGTGATGCCTTTTACCATCTGAATATAAGTATCCGAGGACAGTTCTTTTATTCTACACAACTGTCTTTTGAGAATTTGAGACAATTTAGTTGAATATGGCATGCAAGAACAGGCATGCAAGACAACAAGAGTTCGAGGCAATGGGGAACAGGGAAGGCCCGTCTCTCATCGGTAACAAGCGTTGTGGTAAATTTAGAAAACAAGTATCTTGCAGTCTTGTGTAGGTAACTAAATCTCTATCAGCCATGCCTACAACTCTGCTTATTTATGATCGCATTGAAAAGCCATTAATACCACTATACATGGCCGCATATATGGTTTTCCTACTAAGAAGTTTAGGTTTTTTTTTTTTTTTTTTTTCTCCCAAGGGAAGTGCAAAAAGGGATGGCAATTTGATCCGCCCTTATGGGGTCCCGTCCCGTCCCATTTAGGACGAAGGAGATGGTATGCGAAATATCATCCCGAATGGGATACAAAGCGGATGGTCATCTCAACTCTCGCTTTCGCCCTTTTATCTTTAGGAATAGCAATCTAACAGAGCTCCGTCCTCTTCCACCCTGTTTATGACGGAGATGGTATGCAAAATATTGCCACAAGTAGGACATGGTACAGAGGCAGGGACGGAGATGACCAGTGTCATCCCTAAGTGCAAGGTAATTTTATTATGTAACCAGACCCATTCAGTATCTCTCTTATACGGTGGATGCTTGGTTCTTATTAGAGTACTAGCCTAGTCCAGCCAAACATCTCACAGCAGGAAGCCCAGAAACAACATTAACACAGCCTAGCAGGGTCTGAAAAAGGGGGTCAATTTATGTGTTAGATAGCTACGTTATGTTCTGCATTTTGTGAGGGGCAACAACGAAAAGACATTGAGAAGGATTTAAACAACTAAAAAGTTCAGAATTTTAAACGCTATATAAGAACTCCATATATGGTGCTAAACATAACACACATGACCACTGTCATACACTCGTTTACATACAGAAAATGAAGATGCATCAAGGCTGTCCAGTTCCGAGGACTTTGCCATTACACAAAAGCTATCACTCTCTGTTACATCTTCATGTCTGTCTATAATATTATAGCATCATTAACACAATGCCGAAGCTAAAAAACCATCTTCACAAGACAAATGTATTTATTCAGCTGGCTCGCATGCCATTCATGCCTTTACCGAGAAGATTCACCCAACCAGACTTAAACCCCAAGCTTGCGCTCTATGGGAAATTTGTGGAAAGCAGAAGCTGACATGCATCACAAAGCCTACATCTTTTCCATATTCTGGTACAATTTCGCTTAAGCTGAAGAGCCTGCTTGTTCACAAAGGTCTAATAGATCCAGAGTCTGCAAAACCATCATGATAGCATTTATGAGCATCAGAGAACTGAAAAATCAATTTGTATCAGAAGAAACATTCGAACAGAAGCTTGAGGACAAAGACAGCAAAGTTTTAACTGTTGATCATACCTCAGGAACTGAGAGCTCAAGGCGAAATTTGGGACCATCATAGTGATGCAAAACTGGCCTAAAAGCATCCTCCTCCAATGCCTTGCTGAGTTTTCTAATTCGGATCCTCACCTATTCATTTTAACCGCCCAAGAGGAAAGCAAATAAAAGGAAAGGAAAGGAAAGGAAATGAAGAACATTCCAGATACTTCAACTAAGGTGTCCAAAATCCATACTAAGAATCCAATTTTTACCTGAGCAGGAAACCTTGACTCTCCTTTACACTTCTTGTCTTCCCATGCAGTTGGGTCAATGTTAGAACCCCCAAAACTTGCTGCCTGTACAAGACCAGAATGAGAAGCATAAGTTCTCAACACAAGTAATAGAATCAGTACAGCATAAACTTTTTGCCATTTCTAAGCATAATCTTCACTGCAATAAATACAGTGATGACTGGAGCTAGATTCAAAGAGGCTAACAAACAAACAGTGCAGGCAAAAATAGAACACCCATATCAGATCTAGAACACTCCTGATAGCCTCAGGCATCATAGAGAAAAACCATAGCAAATTAAATGGGTAAAAGTTTGAGAACATACCTCAAAAATTCCATGAAGCTGGTGAGTGGTGTAATTATAGAGGAAGAGAGGTAAGCCAGGTGTTATTGCCCGGACAGAATCTCTATATCTTGGTGGTAAGCCTGTAATTTTGCAACAATTATTTGTTAAGACTTATCAAATATTGTTAAGAGAGGACATTCCTCAAGATCATATGGGCACTAGTATTTGTAGAGTTGGGTAGAAAGCTTTTAAGTACAAAAACAATCATTTTTTAATGCTCATCACTTGGCATCCCATGTCAAAACTTAAAACAATAAAAACTCCACTAGTCAAGACTTGTGACCTATATAATGGTTTCCAATCATTTAATGTTTTGAAATACTGGCAAAGTTGGGCTCCTACTACATAATGCATGATAAGCAAGCTATTGCATCTGAATGGCACCCATTAAACAATTTTAAGTTACTTAAAGCATTGAGGGTCAGAAAACTAACAAGAACGAGAGAAAGCAAGTAACAAATTACCAAAAAGCTGGCGCTTCAAATCTTCCTGCATGGTGTCATTGTTACAGACAAAGATGTATCCTCCAAGCACCTCATTCCTTGGAAGCGTCTCTGTGGCAGGCAATGTCTTGAACCTTTTGTCAACTGCATTGTTGTTATCGTTGTTGATATTAATATTGCTGTGATTACTGGGCTCTTTGCTAATAAGGTTGTTGCCACTGTACTTGCTACCAGTCAGATTTCCAATGCTGTTCATGTTGTTTTTCTGGTACACTGCATTCATGTTGTAAGCACTGTTCCTTAAGGAACTTTTGTTCACAGTTTCAGTCAACTTGGAGTCCGAGTTCATGTTGAAATTGAAACTTTCAAATTTATTTTCTTCTTGAAACCCAATCTTATCCCTTGGTCTCATTTCTGGAAGTCCCTTTGAAAGGTCGAGGTTATTCATGCGTTCACCCTTTGCCCGGGTTTGCTCAGCCAATTTAGAAGCAGCCACTAACCACTTATGATCCTCTGAGACTTTTGATTGTCCTCGAAGCTCGTCACCCAGTTGCCAGAAGCTGTGCAGGGTCTCCATCTTGCAAATCCTGATGAGATGTCACCCAAGATAGATGCTTGTTAAAAGGAAATATGTTGAGAGATAAGGAGGAGAAGGTAGTTTAGAGGAAAAGGCAACAGAATTAGGTAAATGTCAAGTCATTGCTGCAGGAAACAAACCAGTATTAAATTTTATTGAAGAGCATCAGCAAGCAATCCTATCAACTCAAAAAGCCCAATGAGACAGGATCAACCAACAACATTTTTTCTACATGTGTTCTATAGTTCAATGTTGACTACGATAAATGCAAACATTAAATAGAAGACTGATTGAGGTAACCATGTAAATCATTAATTGAAATAAGTAATAACAGCCAGACAATACGCTAAATTCAGAAGCAGCACATGGTTTAAACCCTCACCCCTCCCGAAAGAAAAACTCATCTTTTTTAATCTAAATTATGAAGAAAAGATAGTTGCCAACAGTATTTATCAAGCAAACCACATAGTATTTAAGTGAAAAAAAAAATTGCAATCAGGCCACTTTGATCATTTATTTCATGAATGAAATCTAGCAAAAGATTATGCATCTTTTTCTTGATGCCCAGGAAAATGGTCATTTTTGAGGAAAATGATTAGAAACCACTTCTCTAAAAATTAATTCCAGACAAACATTGTGAACAATTCCAACTGGGTATTCAACTCACCGTATTTGTTAACAGACCCAAGCACAATCATTTAATTCCTATAACTTCTATGTTATGGGAAAGGAGACAAAACCAAATTTATATCAGAACAAAACAAAAAACCGCTTAGATTTCAACAAAGACAATCTCAATGAATTATTTTTAACTGCCAGCACAACTATCAAAGGCACAAACTCTCACAACATAATACATAAATAAATCAAAAAAATCCAAAACACATTGACCCAGAACAAAAAAAAAAAAAAAAAAGGTCATAACTACCAAAAAGCAAATACAACACAGTTTCCTTTTACCGCAACATTTCTCAGAAACCAAACAGTACTTAAACCCAAAAAAGGAAATAAATACAACGTGTCCAGGCCAAACCCATAATTTAAGTCTTCAAAAACCAATAACCATCCCAATAATTACCAATATTACGCCCCAAATCTAGCCATAATATTAAATAAATTACCTTATAAAAATTAAAAAAGCAAAGTACTTTAACTAACTAAAATCAAAACCCAAAATCCACATTTAATCCAAGTAAAAAATCCAGTCAATGACTGTGAAAAAACTTAAAACACAAGGTAGCTAAGCAAAAGGTTGGATTTTTACCCTAAAACAAGACCATTGTGAGCTAAATTACCAAACAAACACAAAAAGCAAACAACTTCACTTAACAAAAATCAAAACCCACTTTTAAAACCAACTAAGGAACCCAAACAAAAAACTAAAAACACCAGACCAAGTAAAGCTTGAAACTTTACCCTTAAAAGACGAAAAGAAGCAAGCTTGATTGGAGGCTTAAATGAAGGAGTGGAAGGTTGATTAAAGGGTAAATAACTACATGAAGATATTATCAGATTAAAAGGAACCCTAGATTTGGGGATCCAAGGAGGAAGAGGAGAGAGAGAGAGAGTACCTTCTTTCCTTTTATCTGCTTTTAACTGTGAAATCCGCAGGACACGACCAGTGACTGAGAGAGAGAGACCAGCAAATAGAAATGGAATGGATTTTTATTTTTGTTTCTATAGCTTGGTATTCCGAAAATGCCATTCTCATGTTTGTGTAATTACGATAATGCCACTAAGGTTTTTTGAATTTTTTGTTTTCAAATTTTTCTGAGAGCAAGAAAGTTCTTTAAATTGTAGCAGTGGTGGCAGTGGGGTTCTGGAGGTGCTTGTTCTCTTGGCTTCCACGCGCCAAGCATGCTGCGTGGAGCGTTTGTAAATTCTTGTTTCTTTGGTTTATTCTAACCTAGACGATAAATTTTCTGAAATTTATTGCTAAAATTTTGAAATTTTAAATTAAATTTTAATGAATTTTAAATAAATTTATTATTTTTTAATTTCTTAGCTTTTTAAATTTAAAATGAAAAACAATTTTAGAATGTAATTATATTAGATAGATTTTTTATATGATAATAATGAAATTTTTTAGAATATATTATTTTCAATCTCATTGCTTTTCATTAAAACGATTAAAAAAATAATAGTTTAATATATTCTTATATTTTTAATTAAATTAATTTTATTCTTAAATATATATTAAGTTTTTAACCTATTATTTTGACAAAATTTGTAAGTTAAACCATCAAAATTGGTTGCATGATTTAACTATAATTATTTTTTATTTTCAAAATACTCTTGTCAGACAAATAGAATGATTTTATATATAAATTATATAATTAATTATGGTGGTTTAACACGAAAATCTCTCTAGAATAATATGTTAAAAACTTAAAATATATTTAAAGATAAAATTACGTCAATTATAAATATAAAAACAGATAAAGAATTATCTTATTATATAAAGATAGATTTAATTATTAATTTTCTTTTTTTAAAAAAAAGACAATTCATATTCTTAGTATAATGATTTTGAGAAAAAACAATATTATACGAATCTTAATGCTAATGAGGTAAATATTATTTGTTCCTTGTATGATACTAAATTCTTTTTTTAAAAAAAAAGTTTCATGGTATTAGGTTGAATAAAAAAGAATGAGAAATTGAGATTAAGTAAAATTGGGATTCAAGTGTTGGCTCAATTGATATAATGAGATAATTATCTGTTTAATTTCTTATTTGGAATATATATATTCCAATGCAGCACCAAAATACCAGCAACACAAAGCTGCATTTTTTATTTTTTTTATTTTTTCAATTTTTCGAAATTAATCCTATAATTTATAGAAATAAATCTAAAATCTTAAGAAACCTTGCACGCTCCAAAAATAAATGCAGTTGGGCAGTAGGGGTAGATTTCACCTTTGACTATACTCATAGGTAAATGTTGAATTGGTGGATGGCAGAATTAAGTACTGTCGGTGAGACCAATTTGGTGCCGTTGGACCAAAATGATGTGATGGGTCATGTTTCTCTGTCCCCCCAAGAATCATGCTATAAATCACCATAAATGTAGGTTCAAATTTTACCCTATCTTAGTGTCTTCCTCACCACCAAAAAAAAAAAAAAAAAAAAAAAATTCAAACCTATACTTGTAATCCTATTGGTTTACTTTTTTTGTCTTTTTTTTTAGATTAAATTTTGAAATTAATATTTTAAAAGTAATAAATCGATGTGTCAAATATATCTTTAAAATTTCACAAATAAAAAACTTAATTTCAATTTATAAGTAAGTTGATTCAAAGATAAATGTGAGTAAATTTGAAAAAAAAATTATAGGAATAATTATTCTTAACTATAATAAGTAACGTGATAAATGGGTAAACATCATTTGAACTTTAACTTATTTGAAAAATCAGTCTCTGAATTTCTAATTTTAAATTTGACCTCTCATGAACTTTTTTTTTTTAATTTAGTTCATATTTTAAATTTTTATAAAAAAAAAAAATAGTCACATAAATATCATAATAAAAATCATTTAGTAAGATTTGTCTAGAACCCTCCAAAAAGTTTAAGATCATTTTGGGTTATTTTTTATTTTTTTATATTTTTAATGTTAAGAACATAAAACAATATATTTTCGGATCTTGAAAAAATTTAGGATTTTTTCAAAAATAAATAAATATTTTCCAACTTATATGTAGAACTCTAGATCAAAATATCAAGAATTAAAAAAATTTTAATCAAAATACCAAAAATTAAAATTTTTAAAGGAAAGCAATAGCTGGAAATGGAATAAATCTCAAAAAAAAAATAATAATAATACTCATAACATGCCAAATCTAAAATTAAAATTACACAATTGTCAGACTAAACCTGCTTACATGGTATGCTGCTTTTTATTTATACAAAATATATTTGTATCAACTTTCCTCGAACTTTTTTCCCTCGAATCATTAGCTAATAGAAAACAGAGAAGTTGCTTCAAAATGAATAACGGGCAATAACGTAAAACACTAATATTGAAAAATATTGTACTCCCTCCTCCTAAAATTAGCTGGCAGATCATCTTCTTGTGAGCTGCTGAGTCTAAATCCAATAGAAAATAAGTCCACAATAGTTCAGAAATTCCATATTGAGCTTCCAGAAAATAAAAAAGTCTAAGCCTCCTGGCATGTCCGACGAGCCGCAGACAGGGACCCTTTTAATAACATCAACTTGTTATCTGCTTCACATGAGATGGTCTGTGATGTATAGTTTTCAATTTAGTTGGTGAGACAGGTAATAGGTTGCAAGCGTAACTAAAATGGTGTCGTATCAACATCCACACAACTTTCAATTCATTTGTATTGCATCTTTCGTGAAATATGACCATTTTTCTAATTGACCTGGACTCAATTGAACAAGGTTTAGTCAATATTATTAATTCACAGGACATATCGTGTTCTTTCTAAGAAATCTCATATGTCTGGTTTGATTATCAAAAATAAATAAATAAAATTCTGTATAAAAATATAAGAATTAAAATTAAAAATAGAGAATCAGAATGATATATCCATTTCAATATTGTATTTAAAATATTAATAAAAAATCAAAATGAAATTTAAAATTTTTACTATTTGTTTTTTAAAATAAATAAAATTAATGATTTTAAAAATAATTTTATTAATTATGATTGTAGTAAAAATGATAGAAGTGATCGTGGTAGTACAATAATAGTAATAATATATTTTTAAAAAATTGATGTCATTATATAACGAAAAAAATATTTGTATTTATGTAAAATAAAATTGGTCGCGAAGTGGTGATGGCAAAATACTTGTCTATCAAATCATTGTAATCTAGAAGCTCAGTGCTGACAATGGGAACTTCATACTTGCTAGCCAGTTTTCTCACCTCCTCTTCTCTAAGCTTGGCTGTACAGAACTTAACTTTATAGTAACCTGTGGGATCGGTGCTGGAGAAGACGACATTGCACAAGAACAATAATTGTTAAATACCAT